CGGTGCGACTAGGCTGTCACATTTCAAAGGCTCCTTCAAGTGCTGCCTTCTTCTCCTGGACAACAAGGTTCCAACAGGTGTATTTTTTGTGGCTCAACCTATCCCAAGATTCGTTGATCACCTATGATGAAAATAATGTGGCAGTAAACAACGTCAACAGAGAAACCTGTTTTTGTAAAAAAAAAAAAAGTTCATACAGTCAAGGTTGCTAGGTGACAGGAGCAGTGAGACGCAACAGTGAGGGCGGCTGCAGGTGGTGACACAAAGCAGAAATCCTCTGAAGGCCAGATGCCTTATTTTGGTTCGACCTTCGTGGTCTATGATGGCAACCAAGGCGCGTCCTTTGAAGAATGTGGCCCCTGAATTGGGACACAGCTCCTCTGCCTGGGCAGTTATAGGTTACACTGCTTCTTGAGCAATATTGTTCTGGAGTTTTGCTGGTTGCCTGGCAACCTCACAGTGACGACAAGAGTTGAGTTTACATTTTTACAATTGGGTTTTTGTATGGGTGAAACAAATGAGTTATAACATGTTAATTACTGATGACTAACCCTTTACATTTAGACAAGAGTAGGCTAGCTGTTTTCCTCTGTTTCCAGTCTTTGTGCTAAGCTAAGCTAAGCTAACTGCTTCATGGCTGTTTATTGCAAGTGGTAGTGAACTTCTCATCTTACTCTCTGCAAGACAGTACATAAGCATTTTTCCCAACAACAAGAAACAAATGTCGTGCATGCATGTGTGTGTGTCTGTGTGTGTGTATGTGTGTGCGTGTGTGGGCGGGGGGCAGGTAAGTGTGTGTGTGCAGGTAGACTGAAGAGGCCGAACCACTTGAGTTTTTCGATCCCATCTCACAGGGCCTCTGTTGACTTAAGAAAACAAACATGATGCACACAACCTGAGGCAGGAAATATTCCAGAAATAGTAAACTAAGCCATCGGGTTGACATGAATCCTCATGAGGAATGACCACTTGAAAACCCTATTTTAGGCAGCGCCAGCTCCTCTAACTTGAGCTGTGGGTGAAATCCATGTAGACAGCCCAAAATTCAGAAAAGGTCTGATTGTTGAGCCAGGACAAGCGCATCGTTGACAAAGCTCCATCCTTTTGAAGATTTATGATTGTAGTCCTTTCCATTTCAGTCACATTATGTTTAGGAGAACCTGTCCAAGAGGTGATCCCATAGGTATCCCATCTGTCTGAATATTATTGCAGAAGATTATTGTCTTAGTACATGTATCCTAAATGAGCATTTCCAATATTTTTATGTTTTGCTATGGTCTCTCTCCGTGGGCTGTCTAAGTACATTTCACCCACAACTGATTCTTTTGCAAATCCTGCATTTCCTAGAGCGCAATTACAATTACAACACTGAGATCTCCATATTTATTTCACCAGCTTCACATTATGGAAATACAAAATCTTTTGGATCAGTGGGTTTTGTGTCACAGGCCCCAAAACTCTGCAGTCCCAGTGATTTAAATCAGGAACTGAATCTTATTAAAACACACAACGCCTGGCAGAGATTTCAAAACGTAAGATTTCTTATGTTAGATCTACCAAGGATCCAACACCTGAAGTGTTCTAATATTCTGCTGTATATCACTTCAAGTGTCCTGGTTGTACTGCTGTGTGTAATCTGTCATCATCAGCCTAACTGATGAACCTGAGCAATCAGCTGGCACATCTGGTGTTCACCTGCTGTTGTTTCCTTGTCTCCTCTGCCTGCTCCTGATGATGTTTTTTAAAGTAAAACTGAAAGCCTGAGAAAACTGCCTACATGTCTCTGTCCGGACTCTAACATCTTTAAAACACGGATTGATGAAAAATCAAAGGAATCACCTGAAAGAATTACTGGAGAAACATAGTGAATTCTTTGACATCATGCATGAGGGGTCACTGAATGGTTTGATGTGCATGAAAATGATGTAAATCATTTTTTCGACCTTCACAGTCAGACGGTCTCAACCTGGGTGAACACCTATGAGAGACTTTGGAGCGATGTGTTAGATGATCTTTATCAGAAAGCTGAAGAATGTTGTTCATCTCTTCAATGGAGATGCTGAGACTTGGAGGAGCTGTCCTGAAGGCTTCTGTTGGCCCAACACCTACAAAGTAACTTTTACATTATTGATTTTTCCAACCTTCTAACCCGACTTTACATTAGCAGGGAATAGAAACAGCCACGTCAAGCTGAACAGATTGATATATATGATGTTTACTGCTAACTGTAAAAATGTGTTAGATGGCAGTCAGACTTGCCTGTGATCAATTCAGAGCTTCCTCTGTGTTTTTCATGTAGGCAGTAACAGTTGTGCTGGTAGTATAATGACAGCATCCCAACACTGTGCCATGCAACACCAGCAGCTGGTTTTATTATATGAAATTCTTTAGAGCCACATAACAAAACAAAGATTTGTCCCTTTGTGTGAACTGAAACTCAGTCAATACATTTTTAAAATCACAGAATTCAAGTTTTGAATTTTGAAGTTTAATTTCAAACTTATAAAAAGACTCAAAAGTGGTCATGCACATTCATCAGGCACTATCAAGTAATTAACAATGTGGCGAATATATATATAAAGATTCATTATCTCCCCACCTGTTAATAGTGTGAGGAAGATATATAGACTGTGTACATACTGTGAGTATGTTGAATATGTAATAAAGTTTGGGATGAGTTTAGGAATAAGGTCAGATCAGATATAGATACAATATACTGTATTGAGAAGTTTAAATACTGTAGAAAACATCATCATCATCAAAATGTCTCTGTACACTTGAATGATAAGTTGCCATTCAAAGACCAAATAGACAACCAATATTTCTAACTGTCTTGTTGGACTTAATTGAGAAGCTTTATAAAGTGATTACTTAGTATTATCTACCCACTTCAGGAGAAAAACAAAGATCTAAGATATTAAATCTGAATTTTACAGTTCCTTGCAACTTGTTATTGTGATTTGTATATATAAACATATGAGCTATGTTCATTCATTGTGTGATAAATTAATTTACTTGTACTCCTTCTCTATTCTAAACATCAAGCTGGAAAAAAATGTGAAATTGCTTCTGTTTTGCTTGAGGGAAATTAAGTGCATCTTTTTAATTCTTTCAAGACATTCTTTATGTGCATGTAAAGTCAGCTTCTATCCATCCTAATGGCTTAATCTTAAAACCGTAACCATGTAGTTTTAGTTGCTTCTTTAGTTGCAGTCTTCATCCTGTTCTCAACTTGGTGTTGGCTCCAACTTCATTAAACAGCAAAATGTTGTATTTCAATTTATTTTTGGTGCTTCCAGTGCATCCAATTCTTTTATATATTTGGTAAATTACTCCTCAGATGCCACACTTGACTGTGCGCATAATGAGTTTGTTAATTGATTAATTATATTACAGCCACACTTTTCTGTGGTAGTAACATGCGCTTCATTTTGTTTCAGCATCGATAGACACACATGCCTGAAGTAAAGTAACCTTAATCAGAGAGAAACAGGACGCATCCTGCTGATAACGAGTGCTGGACAGACTCACAATAAGAAACTCTGGAACACACGCCCGTCGTGATTCTTTTGTTTCCAGCACTGATTTTTGTTTTTGAGCGGAGTGACAGTAATACAGTCCTGCCACTGCCTGAAGAGAGGTTGGAGGACATCTGACTGTTACTCCCACATCATGGCGGAGGCGTGACAGCCAGATGTTCTCCAACCTCTCCTCAAACAATCTACACATTGAATATGACACTTTCTTTGTTTTAATCAGGAGGGAACAGCGCAGTATATACTGTGTGAGTGTATTTACATGCAGAGGAGTAACTGGTTGTATATAGCGTCTGCAAATAATCAGCCTAATAGCACAATTAAGCAAAAAAAAAAAAACATTTGACAGAAGAAATAAATACAGAATCTGTACAAAACACTAAAGTTCCTCTACACTCAAAGATGTGTTTTGCGTATTGTTACTTCACTTGGAGGTTTGATTTTCACTGTTTGAGGACAGTTTTCACATTTCTCTGTGCTCATAGGGTCGGTGGTTCAATCCCCAGCTCCTCCAGTCTGTGCATCAAAGTGTCCTAGTGCAAGATACTGAACCCCACATTTCCCCCGATGGCTGTTCCGTCAGTGTATGAATGTGTGTATCGGTGTGATGTATGAGTGTGTGAGTGAATGGGTGAATGTAGCAAGACCGAAAAAGTACTGTATAAGTGCAGTCCATTTACCATTTATCTCAGTTTAAGACATGTAAATACATCACATACATTTGTGACATCACAACATGCTCCAATAGACATTTACACAAATGGAACCTTGAAACCTCCAGGTCACATAAACTGAGACTGGACTGAGGAATCCAGGTCACTTTTCAACTGATCAAATATTTGCATGTTCATAGATTCTGTATTTTCAATGATGATAAAGGAGTAAATCTAATTTTAAGGATTTTAACTGAGGTTAGTACTTTTTTTGTGTAAAAACCATATCAAACACAAATAATTAATCAAAGTATAGAATTTTTCATGTATTTGATTTGTATTTTTTATATTGTATTTTGTTTTTAACAAAATGTTTATCAGCAAACTCAATCAAAACTAGTCAAAAATTAAAATATGTTGTAGCCAAGCATAACACCCACCAACACAGATAGATATCCTCCCTCCTCTCCTCTTCCCCCACTTTCATTTTTCCACCTCTCCATCTCCGCTCTCTCTTTCTCTCTCTCCCTCCCTCCTTCCTCTTAACTCTCTACCCTTGCTCTCCCCCCATCTCCGTTCTCCTCCCTGATTTCAGTCCCACCCTCCTCCTCTTTCTCTCCGTGATGAAAGAAAGAGTTTTGAGAGAGAGAGAGAGAGAATCAGAGGAGGTTGAAGGGGAGGGGTGGGACCCTATAAGAGCAGCTGACTCCATCCTCCACGTCGCCAGAGAAACCCACACTGAAGCTGAGGGAGGGAAACATAAGCTGACGAACCTCAACCTGCACCCGAGGGACCCTCTATAGGCACCCACTATCTCACGCCAACACAGGTAAGAAGACACTGGGGAGGAGGCAGGAGGGGAAGGAAGAGGGAATTAAATGGCTTGACCTCTGACCTTTGATACAGAACCTTTTGCATTTTTGTCAGATAGATATCTGACATTTTGCTACATTTGTTAAGTCAGGAAACAAAGACCGTGCGTCACTCTCTTCCTTTGCATCCTCTCTAATTGCTTTTAATGTTAGTGATGTTGCACAGCCTGTTAAATAAATGGCTACAACTCAAATGTGAATTTCCGTCAATCTAAATTTGTCAGCCCTGCTAAGAGTAATGCTTATTATCCTCAATCAGTCAGTGTCTCCATCACTCCATCATCCACGACTACTGCTGGATGATAATCGCTGCAGCTATATTGTCACTGAGACCCCCTGACCCTCGTGCTCTTTACAGCTGAGTGCCTGTAACAATGCTAATCAAAGAACTTAAACCTAATCCATGGCTGACCTCGGTGACAGACAGGTGGATGAATCACACAGAGCGGGTTAGGACAATATCTGGAGTCAGTGTAGTTAACAAACTGCTGATGTGTTTCATAGCATCAATGCTTCACGTCTAAGGGAGCAACTACAGACTGTTACGTCCTGTGATGCCCAAGGTTAAATAGGTGTTTAAACACATGTTTTGGTGAAAAGCATAAGGCAGCAATGATGTACACATTACGCTCAATCTGTGGATTGTACACATGCAGTTTGCGCGTTGATATTTAACAAAGAGGGAAAGGTCATAAATAGATCCTGATTAGTCATTAATCCTCAAGGCCTGGTTTGCTGCTGCGCTTTACTGCGTTTCATGAATGGAAGGGAAATCTTCTTCAGTGGTATTTGCCTGAGAGGAAGTCAATATTTCGGCGAGCATTGAGACAATTCTCCTGCCAATTTATTCAAGTCTTAAAGTTAACAAAAAAGAAAAAAAATCTAAAATATTACACGAATAATAAGTGACATGAGCTTTCATACAACGAGCAGTGACATTCAGAACCTTCCAGGAGGCCCACAACAGGTAAACGGACGATAGAAAGACAGCAGTGTAAATTGATTTTAATTAACCACATATAAAGCATCTGGGAACATCTGGCCCATAATTTGCTGCAGATCTCTATACTCTTAATGAACCTACCCTGTTCCAAGGCTGGAGACTGAATGTGCGTGATTCAGAATAGGTCAGAGCTTTTATTAAATTTATTAAATCACAATGTTATAAAAGTATAAAATATTTTTGTCATATTTTCTATATTATAGTTAGTTAATAAAGCAGTAAATAAAAGATAGAAGTTGTGCCAGTATTAGTGGTATTTATGGTGTATAAGCCTATTTCTGTGGTCGTTCTGCTAAAATTATTCTTATGCCCTCAGGCATTTATATGTAAATCTCATTATAAGGAGGTACATGCCTTTTTAAAGCTGTCAGGGAAGATTTATGAAGTAAATAGCAAACTTGAGTGTCACATTTTCATTTATTTATTTATTTTATATTGAATGATTAATGTAATGCTTTTGTTATAGCTTGGGGCTCACTTTTCATTAAAAAGAAAGGCACAGTTCAAAATGGATTATGTGAGGTAAGCTGCAACAAAAAAGGCTCTTTAAACAACTATTGATGAGAACTTATTTTGAAAGTGCACGTATGTGGCTGTGATTATCTCTGTAACAAATCTCCTTGCGTATCATCATAAGGAGGCTGATGTAGGACTACAGATAACGCTCAGACTGAGACAATGTCCTTTGTAACTGGGAAATCTAGAGGCTGCTTTCTCATTCCTTCGGGCAAACGCTCAAAACATTCCTGTGACTGCAACAGATTTGGGTTTGCTGTGAAATTTACCTCTGATTAGCTCTGGGTCTGATTAGCTTTTTATGATGTTCCAGCACTTCTGTATTGGCTGTCTTTATTGAGGCTGCATGGAGGGAATAGGACCCGGTGAAAATGAACTAGTTTATATCTGAATGGAGATAGAATCTTAAATGGAAATTTAATCTAAAACTGAATGCTTGGACATGCAGCTGATTTGGGGTTAAGAAAAACCCTAAGTATTCAGAGACAGGGATGTGGGTGAGATGACAAGATAGACTTGTTTTATATTTTAGCTGGATTGTAAATTGAAACACAACAGCTGTTGGTGAGGAACGCTCTGTGTTGTTATTTTGTGGGCAATTTCACTGTGTTCCATGTGGATCGCTGGTCAAACAGAGGAGGCGACTGAGACCGAGGGAGAGAGAGAGAGAGATGAGATTTCAACACCTACTATAACAGAATTTTAAACTGAAAATGCTTGAAATGCCTGCTTTCGTGAACCTTTTGCTACAAGTCCTTCAGAGAGAAAGGGGCAAAGTCTCAGAAAGGTCTGTAAAGCAACAAGAAAAGACAAGTTGTGCTTTGAGGAAAGAGTGCCATTTCTTTTTGTTTTTTTTTTTTTTTTTTACTTACTGGACTTAAAATACCCCGATTAAATTCTGTCCGCCTACACATGAAATAGCTGAATGCATCCAGTTTAACTAACTTTATCTGAGATTTATAAAAACACATCTGGATATCAGCAGAAATGGCTGTCGTCCAACAGTGACGGCAGTTGTGGAGAATACTGATGAAGACCTTATAATTACTAATGAGACTTATGAGCAATGAGAGAAGAAAAGAAAAAGAAAAAAAGAAAATCCAAGAAAAAAGAAAATCCATACAGAATATGTGGTATTACTTGCAACATTAACCTTCAGCTTCAACCAAAAGAGAAGAAAAGAAAAACACCAAACATTAGGAACACGTTACTGAGTTGCAGCCCCATTTCCACAGTTCATGCCTCATGTGTCTTATGGCCTAAAAATCCTGCTTAATCCATCTCTTCCTCTCTTTAGTATTAGTGAATTTGTTGCTTTCCTCCACAACACACACACCTCATTAGCTTTATGGATAAACTTCACTGACCACAGGAAACCCAGGAAACCCAGGAAACTGTTCTCATGCAAAGGCTGCATGTGGGAAAATAAAGGAAGGATAAGGATAGGTATAGTGCCGGTTGTGAACTTCTCTGGTGGCTGCACCGAAATGGCTGTGAATGTGTGGAGTTAATCCAGGCATACAATGTTCCTAACACAGCAGGGTCCCTGTCCATCCTTTTGTGTTGGGAGGATTTCACAGATTATCCTTCGTGTCTCCTTGCTGCCTCCAGCTTGCTCCTGTTTTCCCCTCATCAAAGCAGACCTCCGTCCTATCAGATGCAGTGGCACTCATTTTGATGCCGGGGGGAGAAATGTACATTTTCTTATTCTGTTGTCAATTGTCTGAGTAGAAAGGCCCTGACCTTTCTTCAGGCCTTGTAATCTTGGTCATCTAGGAACTGACGCATATGTATTTGATGGCCACACTGGAAGTTATGAGGTGTCAGTTAGGTAAAATGTCCATATATGTCTTGTGTTGAGTCAGTTGTTGCCAGTTGTCCCACTGCTGTTGTATGACAAAGAAATCCCTTGTGGCACATAAAAGCATTTTCCCCATACATACAAAAGTAGCTAATTCATGCTCTTTCAGTAATGTGAGACTAGCAGTGGTGTTAACCATCTTGGAAGTTTGAAAATTCCCAAGTAGGAATAACAAGAGATCTTCCTCTTTTCCCTCCATTCTGCTATTTAATGTAGTATAATGTGAATGTGCATTTGGGATGTACATCTCAGAAGTAAACCAGGAAGACAGAAACTTTTTTGGTAAATGTACTTGGTGAGCAGCTTTCAATTAAATGAATGGGCACCATCTTGTATTCCAGTATTGATGTTTTTATGTTAAGATGTAACAGCATCATCAATGGCAAGTTTCTATTAGTGCACCAGTGGCTAAAACTCATGAGAACACTAACATAATAATAATAATAATAATAATGCCTGAATACCTCTATATTTTGTAAAAATGTAACCATGATTTGGTGGTGTCCAAATGTGTATGATTAGCATAGGTTATAGTATAGTACACTAAAAGGTTAGCAAGGGATATGTTTATTTGTTCAGTCACACTATTTCTTATTTTTACTCTCACACAAACTAATGATTACAAATACGATGTCCCGCATGATGCTAAAGACCTTTAGAAAGGTAGGTAGATAATTCAGTGATTATATTTTTATCTCATTTTGACCTGTCACAGGAGAAAAAGCACAAACAAATAACATTGATGGTTCTTTCCATTTAGGTGTGTTGGTGAGACAACAACACCTGCACATAATGTAACCATTAGTATTATTAGTTACACCTGTGTTCAACAAAGGCCTATCAGCAATGAGTTTGGAAATGTCTGTCCTTGCAGAGTCACTGCTTTGTCTAAATATTGTACCAACATGTGCTTTAGTTCAGCCACAGAGTAATAACTCATGTTATAGAAATACAAAGGGGAAAACAGAGGGCAAACAAATAAAGAGAGAGAAGAGAGAGAAAAGTAAAACTATACAGGGCACCACCTCATCTCAGGACATGAACAAAAATCAATATGAAATAAATATGAAATAGATCTGGTAGGCCTGTGTAAGTGTGTGTGAGCACACCTCCCAACCATTAATCGACCTTAGGTGATTAGATACATTGAGACGGGTAATTGATTTAGCTGAGTGTGTCTTCCTGTAATGGCTTCAGCATGTAATCTACTGCCACGTCACACACAGTCTGACTGACAGGGAACATGTTGTGAAAGCACTAAAGGTCTCTTTTAAAGGTTTCTTCTGAATGGAGATATGTCACAACGCCCACTCTGCAGACACATGTGTGAGCAGACAGGACCTCCAACCAGAGGAGAAGGAGCAGGATCATAAGAAATAATGGTTTTGGTAGTAGTTGTGTAGTTGCACTATTACTGCCTAGGCATATTTATGATGTTTTATTCAAATGAATATATGCATAATCACCGAAAATTGATTGATCTGATTTGATAAGAGGTGGCCATTAAGGAAAACTGTTTAATAGACATCTCATATTTTCTGCATATTGATGGGAAATCATTCATTGTTGGAGTTAGCCATCAAGGGTTTGCCAATGGAGTGATCATTAACATCTTGATACAAAAATAAGGGAGACGAAGCTCTAGCATCAAGTAGCAGGGAGAATAATAAGTGTGAAATAACCTTTTTTTTCATGAAATATAATGTAGTTGTTTTAGTGCAGTATTTTGTTTTTGTAATATGAACAGTGGGGAAGTAAGCCCCTTGTGCACTTCTATGCCAATGGTAGTAGTAGTTTTGTCTCGTTTTATATATGTGTGAAAGACAAAGAGTATGACAAGCTGGGGAGAGAAAGAGCTTGAGTGAGTGAGATGGGGTAACGACAGCTCAATCAGTAGGTAGATAATGCACATAGGTAGTGACGGCCGATTAACATATAGATTTGACATTTTTAATCAAACTGATTGGTAGTATAGATTTACTGTCCTGAAAAGTATCAAAAACAATGGCCACTCTGCCATTTTTCTAGTTAGCTATCAATATTAGAAAAAAACAGCACAATGTAATTTGAGTGGGCCTGGGACAAGTTGTCAATCAAAGTGACTTTTCTGACGGATAAAGAAGTCTGCCATCTGGCTCCAGGCAGAAGACTAAATAACATTTAATTACTTGTCAAACTCTCATCAACTAACAAAGACAACATCATGAATACACTCTAATTATTCAATATTTGATTTTTTTTTTCTTTAATATGATGGGCCTCTCTCCGTCAAGGGTTGAATGTTAGTGTTCTTCAGTTTAATTTAAAGCCATTATCTAAAGGTGCAGTTTAATAGGTCATCATGTAGTTGTGCACAATAACTTAACGATAATAATAATTATAATAATGATTTAATATTATTTTTAATTTGGTGTTAGTACTTACCTAACTCCTATACCTGAAAATCTATTCAAGTATAATATCACAGTGATCTTTAAGTATGCATAGCCCATACAAAAATAAAGTGTGAACTAAATTTTTTTATCATAGTTATTGTATCAACCTGATTTGTCAGGGTAGTCAGGGTTTAAACTACTTTGCACTTTTAAATGAGATTTTATTTAAGTCGTGTCAGAGCCCAATTTATAATTGGATGCAAGCACTCTACCACAGAATACAAATAAGGCACTTGTGTGTCAAATTAAGTGATCATGAGGCCACACTGAACATCAATGCACAGAAAATTTCCATTCAATTATTTTTTGCTGTTACACAACTACAGTGTGTCCAGTTGTTCATCATTAAAGACAAACCACAAATAAGAAAAGTTCCAGCCAAGGTACATGGTGTGCTGATGTGAGTTTGACAACATGGTGGTTATTACATTTAAGTTACGTATTAATCTGCGGTTCAACTTTTAAAAATAAAGACGAAGTCCACACCGCTCCTCTGTTCAGCCATCCGTGAATAATCCGGCTTTAAGTCGCTCTTCGACTGGAAGTAATTTATTTTGTACTTCCTGTTCTTGATGAGAAAAGGGCAACAATGGAGAAAAATAATGGTGGAAACAGTTGATAACATGGTGTGAGAGAGTTTGAGAACTTTCTGCTCAGAGTGAGTTGTTGTTGTAGGATGAGGAGTCCATGAATCAGACAGGAATATTTCATTAACTTTAAACTTTACTTAAATGTACTGACTAGACAAACTTTTTAATCAACAACTTGAAGATGGTTGTGGTATTTAACACTTTCTCCTATTAACAAGGCAAAACGCACATATAGATACTTTTCAGGGAGACAGACTACAGATTGCTGATGTTCCCACTTAGTTAACTGTCATTTATTATTACACTATAGTTATGTTTCACAGAGCATGGATGACACCGCATACTATTGCTTTCCTTTGCTAACCTTGAACTGACTTGGTTTAGATATTTTTCAAGTAACAGAACGGATCAAATGGCACAAAATCACCTCATGTAGTCACATGTTGACAGGTAACACATTGAACCTGGATGAAAAGTATATTTCTGTTGCAGAAGTACTTCGCCTCTATGGAGAGGTATTTCCTTTTATCTGAGAGATGGTCTTATTCATCATCTGCTGGAGGGTGAAACTTCCATCAGCAGCACCTCAGCACAGCACAGCACAGCACAGACAGTAATGACTTAATTAACTGGTTTATTTAGTGGTTAATCAGTTAATTAAAAGCAGGGTAATTGGGTTTTCAAGGCTCAGGAGAGAACGTGGCAGATGTCAGTATAAGACCACAGAAAACACTGGTCATTGAGAGGTAATGTTCAATTTTAGAGAGATTGTGACATCACAGAGTAGTTTATGATAAGAGAACAAACAGATACTCAATGGAGTGCAATCTCGTGTGTGAATGTATTTGTGTCTGCACATATCTATATTATCCTGAGTAAGGCCAGAGTGACTGCTTCAAGGCTTTATTCATTCTATGTTGTTCCGGATAGGACATTAGACATTTTTTTCATCAGGAGTTAAGAAATGCCCAGATTCAACTTGGCCACCTGAATCTTTCCTGCATTTACCCCAAGGTGAAGCATTGAGACTGCTCCTTAAACCTTCAATGACAGCTGTCAAAATCTATTTTGATCTTGTTTTTTACTAAGTTTTAAAAATCATCCTCAGGGGGATAGACAATGGTCCTGCCCTGCGTGAACCCTTGCAGTAAACATATAGCCTAAACATCTAATGAGATCTGAAAGGACTTGGTGTTCCCTTCCTTTTTCTTCCTCTAGTGCCACCATGAGGTTGACATTTGTGGTTTTGATTGAAATGTCTAAACAACTATTGGATGGATTGCCATGACATTTGATGTATAGTACATTCATGTCTCCCTAAGGATGGATTGTAATAACTTCCCTTAACCTTACATGAAGCCCCATCATCAACATTTTTAATTTCTCCAAACCTTTGGTTTATGGCCAACTACTTGCAGTATATTTAATACTATTCCCATCAGCTCCAGCAGTACGTTGTGTTATGTGTTTTAATAAGCAAATGTTAGCATGCTAAACTCAGACGGTGAACATCAGTATGTTAGCATTGTCATTGTGATATTTGTTTAAAGCTCTGATATTAGCATGTAGCTCAAAGCAGTGCTGTGCCTCACAGAGCTGCTGGTGCGGCTGTAGACTCTTATACTTGTAAATAATAATTATGACACTTTACTTTCGCTTTCACTTTAACTGTCTTCTATCCTTACTTAATTATAGTGGCACATCAGTGTTTGCATCCTCTGGCCACACCTCAGTTGAGAACAGAGATGTGAAGATGTGGCACCTTCAAGCATTAGGATGATGGCAGCTCATTTTTAGAGTCACACAGTCACTGACAGGAGGATGGACAATAAGATGCATTATGGCCAAATGAACACACCCAAGCTGTTTGTCTATATCCTCTGCCATCTCCCAGTTGGGTCCCGCCCTCAGCTGTCCTACAATATTCCTGTCTAAAATGGCTTTGCTGCTCTTTTGTCCTTCACTGACAAACACATCCTCTTTCCTACTAAAGTAAAAATTAATTAGACATGACACACACTTTCACTGTTTGCACATAAGAGGACTGATTATTTTTTTTAATTAATTTTACAGAGTTGCTGTTTTATGGGTAGTTAGTGATTGGAATGAACTGTAGTGCAATTACACTTTTATCAGCCCTTAATTACTTTGAATAAATTCCACATTTCTAAGACATTAGAGAGTAATTTTTGATTGAAGGCAAATTAGTTTTACTTTCTGCTATGTCAGTTCAATAGATAATTACAACCAAAAGTCAAAAGAGCAGAGCACTAGTGTGTGTGTATGTGTGAGTGTGAGTGTGTCTAATGTATTGTACAGTCAGCACACGCAGTGTGTACACTAGGCATGTGTGAGAATGCATGTATTTGTATGCATGCATATTTCAGTGCTGTGTAGCTTTGCTTGTCTGAATATTGTGTGTGTTTGGTGCTTGTGAGTTTGAGTGTGTGTTTGTCAGCAACAAACTGTGACTCAGTATGCTGCCAGAGGCAATAATTGAGGCATCAATTAAAGGAGTTAACGAGTTTGTTTAATGAGATGAAAACTCTGGTTGTGTCTCTGACGTCAGGCTCACCAGACTGGGCTGTTCCTTCCAGAATAAGGTCACACAAAAGTCTTTTTTGTCACTTTTTGTATCTGCTTTGCTCACTGTCGCTCCATCTGTCCCCTCGTCTCACTCAGAACTGAGCTTATTGTCTCTCTTTTTTCCATTAGTGTCAGATCCCTACAACATTTATATATATACATAAAGTACTTCATCCATAGTAACAGATACATTCCCCCAATAACAATAACACACAAACACACAGACATAACACAAACACATTTCCACTGAACCACTGAAGCGAATGATACATGTTACAAATGACTCAGACATCCAATCACTCTCCTTCTGTCATATTGAGTTTTTTGTTTGAGATAATACTGAGTTGAGAAAGCTAAGAAGACATGTAATGCTATGCTAACCCTGTACTGATGTGAATTTGATTCTGCACTCAATACCTCACCAAGGTAAACAGCTATTACTACTTTAGTAGAAAAAACTTACAAATAGCCCCTTTAACTTGGTCAAACTTTTTCACATTCTCAGTATTTGTCTGGTGAGATATTGAATAAATGTTGACACAATGACCTTCAACAGTGTTCAAAACGACCCACTCAGATACCACTGCATTGTAGGCAGGTAATGAGAAGGGTATCCAAACTGTTGGGCTAAATGTGTGTGTTTGATCTGTCCTGTGTTGTGCAGCAGACGGTGGGACCATGAAGACTGTGGTGGCTCTGCTGCTGCTCTGTCTGTGTGATCCTGGACACAGTGACTGCCAGGGAGACTGCCTGTCCTGCAGCAACATCCTGCCCAAACAGCTCAGTTTCAACACCATGGTGAGAAGTACACACACACACACACACACACACACACACACACACACACACACACACACACACACACTGCAAGAGTGGAACTCCAACCCAAAACAGAGGGGACAGACTTCCATCGTGTCTGCAGGCATGAAAACAGATCCAAACAAATTTAGAATCTACAGTACAGGTGTAAATAATAAAACTATAATAAACTATATCATTTTACTGAATTCCATTCAGCTGCTTCAGTCTCAGGGTCCTGGTCCATCACAATGTCTGATGTGAAAGGCCAGTACAGACTGTTTTGCACCATACGCGAAATAAGTAAAAAATAAATCATGCTCTTATTAGATAGCAAGCGCTCCATCTAGACAAAACTGGGCTATTTCCCCTACATAAACATACATACAAACACAATGTGTCCACAGGGCTCTTTTAATTTGGTGATGAAATAAGTGGAAACCCCTCACCCCACCTCCATGAATCTATCCTTTCCTCTTTCCATCCCCCTCACTGTCTCTTACTCAACACATTAGCCTTTTGCCATTTGAGTTTTAATTCGTTGTGGCTAATTGATTCCTGAGGATAGATGTGTGTTTCTCCTATCAGTGCTTGTGCCTGCTGGCTGTTTTTCTCTGGTTAAAGACATTTAAGTGCACATGGCTCAAAACATAAAACTTTGGTGTAGTACTTTAGCATAGGCACTTTTAATTTTAAGGGATTCTGTAAAGACATTTGTCTTAAGGTTGGCACCTCGCTGCATGCCATCTATTGATCTATGTCCCTTTTTAAAATCCACACCTCCTTTGCTTATTTAAATTTTTTTCTTTTTTATGTCAATCTCATATTTTACTTATAAATCAATGATTGACAAGAGCCTCTATGATTAGCCTGATTCATGTAAACAGTGGCACTCAAAGCAATACAGTACTACATCCATAGTAACAGATACATTCCCCCAGACAATAACACACAAACACACAGACATAACACAAACACATTTCCACTGAACCACTGAAGCGAATGATACATGTTACAAATGACTCAGACATCCAATCACTCTCCTTCTGTCATATTGAGTTTTTTGTCTGAGATAATACTGAGTTGAGGAGGTTCCACTCAAACAACCCTCACAAGGTGCTTAGAGTAAAACTGTTTCATGTTAATCTTGCATTAATTAAGGTTATTAGTTACACCTGTGCTTTTCCTGTATCAATATGTGTGACTATGTTTGATGTGGAAAAGTGTAGGCCACATTTTCCGGCTCAGATGCAACCATGACTTCCAAAGAGAATTGTGTTACAAATAGTCCTTAAAAATTATTTAAAGGTCTTCGACTTTATTAGATTAAGTTTTACAAGGAAGGACAAAATATTTGCTTCGTTGAGCGTTGAGTTTTAAATATTTGAAAAAGCAGCTTTAGGTGTGTAAAGCATTTAAAAGAAAACTGGCCGTAAGAAAATTGGGGATGCAGCCTTTGTCAGTTACGGCCCAAAGCTATGGAACACACTACCTATGGATATCAAAGAACTAAGTATTTTTTTAAAAAAGCTCAAAACTTATTTCTTCACTTAAGCCTTTAACTAGCTCTGAAATTTTGCACTTAGCTCCGCATTTATGCACTGATCAACACTTTTTAAAAAATGTCTTATTTAATGATTTATTATGTTCATGTTCATTATTTTCTCTAATTTTACGTTAATATTTTTTAATGTTTTTCATTTTACATCAATGCTTTTAACATGTTTCTATGTTCATTTTATGTCTTTTCATGTGAAGCATGTTGTAAAACACTTTGTGCTACATTTCTTTTATGAAAGATGATACAAATAAAGTTTATTATTATTATTATTATTATTAATATTATTATCATTATTGTTAGTAGTAGTAGTAGTAGTAGTAGTAGTAGTAGTAGTAGAAGTAGTAGTAAAGTTCACCAAATCACGAAGCACATGTTTTTCTGCTTTCCCTTTGTGGTATCTACCTTTGGCTTTATTGGCCAAATTAGTGACCTACTGTGAGCAAAATGCTAACAATGGCATGCTCGCAATGAAACTGTTAACATGCTAATGTTTAGCAAGTACAATGTTTACCATGCTCACCATTTTAGTTTAGTGTTAAAAACTGTCTACAGTGAAGTCTGTCTATTTTGCCACATGAATCAACTGATCTGAACTGACTTCAGAAAGGAAATGATGATGATCTCTTGGCTTTGTCTCCGTCAGGTGTGTCTCATTGAGTGCGAAGGAAACATCTCCCCGGCTTTCTCCTGGGACCTCTGTCGTAAAGCGTTGTCTTCACCTATTTCCTCCCTCAGTGGTACTATGCGGAAAAGATCTCAGGAGGAGGTGGAGGCCCTGTTTCCTGAGGAGGGAGAGCAGATGGAGGGAGGTCTGTTGCTGCCCATTGCATTGCAGAGGTTTGATCATGTGACCCGCGCACTTGGAGTGGACGAGAGGGATCTGGGTGGCAAGGGCAACCACCTGAACACTGCCTACAATTCCCAGAATGCTTTGTCTCTTGATGATGAGTATGATGAAGAGGCAGGGCAGGAAGAAGGGGATGCTGACATGGCAGCCGGACAGGGTGATGTAGGGCTGAGTGTCTCCAAGAGGTTTGGCGGTTTCGTCAAAGGGAGGCATGGCTACAGGAAGCTGATGTCTCCAGGAAGATCGTACCAGAAGAGGTATGGTGGCTTCATTGGTATTCGGAAGTCAGCCCGCAAGTGGAACAACCAAAAACGTTTTAGCGAGTTTCTGAAGCAGTATCTGGGAATGAGCACTCGGGCCACTGAGTTCAACAGCGTGTCGGAGGACCTCACCAATCAGAATGAAGTTTAGCACCTTTAAACCACTGCTGTAAAACAATTTCCTGATGTATTTTCACTGATCTTGTTTTGTATTTCAATCACCATGTCAAACTCTAACTGGTGTCACCAAAGTTAACCTATTGAATCTTACTAATTTACCAAAAAGGGAAAATTACAGTGGAGTAACTAGAAACTTTGGTCCCCCTGAAACTCTGTAACTCCTGGCACCTTCCAGGTTCCCTCCCTGTCCGGGTCTGAGCGTCCTGAATCATTCAGACCTCCCATTTGGTGTCCCCATGGGATGTACCAGTTAAACAATCGTGTTTCATTTGATTAGCTGCCCATGTACTTCATGACATTTGAAGGAAGCCCCCAAAGTGGGAATCATTGAGAGTCTTGGAGTAGTTTGCAGCAAAATAAATAAAGTGTCATCTACTATATAAGTCATCAATAAAAGTTAGTATTATTATTGCTTTTCTGATCCCCTGTATTATACAGTATATTCTACGTATTAATTTATGTGCTGGGTCATGTGTAAAAAGTGTTAAATCATCTTACATGGAGGCCTCTGGCTTTGGGGGGTCTTTGAGAAATGTGTAAGAACCTCTGTTATCGAGTCTAGCAGGAAAACTCTCTTTCATACTACCAGCTTTTGGCAAAATGCATAACTCAGTCATTGTGAAAGAACAATGCCAGTGTTTTTTCATGTTTTGGCATTATGGTTAGGCAATGTCAGCAGTTAAGTAAAGTATACTGTATGTAATTTGTGGTAAATCAGTGAAAACATGCAAAAACAGCTAAAGCTCACTGAGTTATCATTGTGCCAAAACACACCTGAGACATGGCTACTGCAGCAGGTTTAATTAAAAGACCTCACCTTCAGTTTGGTGCAGTGGTGAACATACTACACAACACTCAACATTCATAACGTTATACAAGTGAGAATCATCTCTGACTGGCTCTTGTGTCAAAACGCTAGACTCCTATATATATACAAACAGTATTTGGTATTTTTGTTTTAACTGTAATGGTCTGAAATGTTTTTGTTGCCTACAATGAGAACTTGTAAATAGCTGAATTTAAACATGTCAATAAAAATAGTTTACTATTTCCATCGTGGCCTGTCATGCAGCAACTGATTCTGTGTCTTGAGGTGTTTTGTTCTCAGTATTTACAGCAAAGCCACTAATGGGGGTGGGTTAAGATAATCTCTTGACTTCTTTAAAGGTCCCATATTTTATGCGTTTTGATCCATAAAAAGATATATTTGTGGTTTTGAGAGCAAAAAACCATCTTAATTAGCCAATCTGATTGGCTGACTTTTTTCTGAGTGATCTAATAAAAATTGAGCAGATTTCAGGTAAAACATTCAAAGAAACAGAGACCAAATCCTGCAAGTTTGGATGGTAGGTCTGGATGAGTGGGGCTTGGGGCATGGCTATGAGCAGTGGCTGCTTTGTTGTGACATCACAAAGTTACAGAAGTCCTGATGGCTCGTTTTAAGGCTCAGTTTCTGAATACGATCTGTGTATTTCTCTGTGGACTGAGTAGTACTCAAAGTATTTTTTTAAGTTATGTTTTTGGGCTCTTTATGTCTTTATTATATTAGCAGTGAGAAAAAGACAGGAAAGTTGGGGAGAGAGAGGATTCAGTAAGGACTGAGCCTTAATGATACGCATTCTACCAGGTGAGCCAACGAAGTGCCCCCAAACACCAAGTAGTAATATAACACCTAGACCTGCTTTGTAATCAAAAAGCGCATGGAAAACTAAATTTATACAATATGGGACCTTTAAGTTACTTTTAGATGTTATGGAACACCAATGCTTTGTAGAGCAGTTATAAGCCTTTTATAAGAACAACAATATGGTTTTCAGGTTGTGTAATAATACTTTGATTGATTTGTCTTCATACTATTACGTAATAAGGCAGTTATAAATGTTGGTGATCCATTAATAAATCGAGACTATCTAATTAGCCATCATATTTGCAGTTGTAAATGTTCTTAAGTTTTTAGTAAACAACTTATTCCCCTAGGGAATAAATAAAGTATCTATCTATCTATCTATCTATCTATCTATCTATCTATCTATCTATCTATCTATCTATCTATCTATCTATCTATCTATCTATCTATCCAACCTATTTTCAAGAGATCAGACACTCCATTGCAGGAGTCTACATGATGAACTTAAGAGCTAAAAAGACCTGTTTTCCTATATTTGTTCGTGTAAGTGGGTTATAACTGATCTATAAAGCACCAGTAGCAAGATTTATTAACCATTAATAAAAAACACTCATAACCTCATTAGGAAGTGGAACCAATTGGTAAAATGATCACAGAAAATTTGGTAACTGTCTTACAAGTAAAATTAATGCTAAGATACATAGCCTATCTTTTCAATACATCCAGTTTTGAATGCTCGTTTATCACTCAAAGTTTCATCAAAACGCTGCAACAACCATGCAGACAGTCGGCGCCCCTCAGTGGTCACACCTGTAGCTGCCCGTCTGCACATACTACTGCATTTCCCATATGTCTGATATTATGATATTGTCTGATATAACTATGCCTAGTGCTTATGCGTGGTTGTGTTAATAAATCCAAGTTTAATCAGTTAAAATAAAACAAGGGCTCCCATACAACCAAATATTGATCAAGGGGTACACAAACCTTATTTTGAATTCAGTGTTTTCAAAGATGTCTAATGGGTTTTAGCAAATTGGATATAATATATGACCACCTAAAATTATATAACTTTCTAATTCTGACGACACCAATCCATTGATTACACGTCCATTAATTAACTGACCGCTTGTTGGGTTGTTACTGAAGAGAACACTCAAACAGTCTGGCGGCCTTAATTTTGAAGGTTTAAACCGGAAACGCTGCTTGTTGTTGAAGGTAGTTTGACATAGGACTAACTGCTACTGCACCCAAACAAGACTTTCTGTCGTATCGCCCAGTTACTGGTATTTACTTCTGTCTTAAAAATATAACAGCGTCTGGACTTGGCTGATTCCGTGAGTTTTCTGTCGTCATAAACAATAAAAGAAGTGTCAGAGGAAAAAGTTTCCCCACACGGTTAACGTTTAGCTGCTGATGTAGCTAAATAATCAACATTAGCTAGCTTTTCGATAGCTTAAGCTACGTTCGCCAGTTACAATACCTCTAATGCTAAACGGTGACTGTAGGACCTCACAAGACTGAAAATATCAGAAAACTTTAATGAAACTGTAATTTACACGTCAGCCAAGGCTTTTTGCATCTAAGCTAAAGTTCCGGTATAATTTGACGTACTGCAAGCTAAAGCTAGCAGTGCTGCTAAATGTATAACTCCAGCGATGTTTGAAAGCTAACATCAGTCTGAAACATAATTGTGACAGCTGAAGGACTATTGAAAGTTAACCTTGCCGGCTTCCCAGGCCCCGTCTTCACCACAGCAAATGTTGAATATTGTATTTAATGTCATGCTGCGTTAGATGAGCTAAACCCAACAACCTGAGGAATACCATTCGTAGTCTCCTAAAAACTACAACTGATAAAGAATAACACTGCACCTTCATGCAACCTTATAGAAACTAGGTAGTGACATTTGCAGTGTTGATAGCTCAATTTACCTTTATAGTAACCTTGAATTCTGAATACATGATCTGTATGTAAAGCTGTGTGTTTGTGTATATGTGGTTATAGAAAGCACAGCTATGTGCAGCTGTGTGCGGAGCTCCAGGGCTCTGTCCCCTGTCCTGCTCCCCAGGCTGCTGCTTCCCCACACGGGGTACAGGTTGGCTGGCAGGGGCATCTGGACCTCACCCCACTGCATGGCTGTCAGTGGAGACTCCCAGCTGCTCCCACTGCCCAGCCAGGCCCGAGTGGTGATCTGTGGAGGAGGTATTGTGGGAACATCAGTGGCTTACCACCTGGCCAAACTTGGCTGGACTGATATTGTGCTTCTGGAGCAAGGCAGGTGAGATAAACGTCTTTGTGGTTTCATGTGTTGGGAATGTTTGCAGTTTTAGAGGTGCTGGGCAAGGTGTAATGAATTGTAAGGCGGCTCTTCAACTCAATGATCCATGGTTAAGCCCCAGGCTTGGCCAACCTTGAGAAGGTCACTGAATTCCCTCTAGCTGAACAGTTTGTGCTTTGTCCCCAACCCTGATCTCCTAAATCTTTGTGGAGGGGGCAAATAAGACTCTAGTCTCTACTTTAGCAAGCAATAGAGGATTAATGCAAATAGTTGTCATTTGGATATTGTTCGGTTAATGCTATGTTTCCTTTTGGCAGACTTGGTGCAGGAACAACCAGACTATGTGCTGGCATTGTCAGCGTGGCCAAGCCTATTTCCATTGAGTGTCAAATGGCCAATTACTCCAATAGTCTTTACCAGCAGCTGGAGGAGGAGACAGGGATCAAAACAGGTTAGCCACTTTGACATGGTTTGCTTTCACTCATGTTTAACTAATCCTGATGTTATTCATGCAGACAAAGGTATATGATATGGCTATTACTATCCTCATTGCTGATAAGTTGCCTTAAACATCTAAAGATGAATATAACTACCTGGTCTTTATTTTATTTAATTGTTTTTAATCTATTTTACTGCTATTTGAACATTTATCTCCAAAGGGTTGTGCTGTGTATCTTACTTTTCAGACAGTGAAGCAAACAATTACTGCATATACTACATAGCATTGCGTTTCAGTGTATTCATTTTTATAGCAATGCAGTGATGCAACTAGTAGTGCTTGGCACATGCATGCATCTGTCTCATCATAACACTTCTGTATATTGGCTTTTTCCAAAGCTAGAATGATAATTACCCTACAGTTTTGAGTTTATTACAATCACTTTGGCTCTGTATTTGAGTGGGGGAATAATCTTGAGTAGTTTCATACCTGCTGAGTCACATGATATGGGATTTGGTGTGTGTGTTTCAGGCTATGTGAAGACAGGGTCTTTGTGTCTGGCTCAAAATCAGGATCGCTTCATCTCGCTGAAGCGCCTGGCATCCCGACTAAAGTAAGACCCCAAACCTCAAGTCAATATTTAGTAGAGATACCTTTGGCAGAATATGCCTGTTTATGTGGATGAGATAGCTTTGCAGATACGGACAGAGAACTTTTTTTTCACTTCTTTGCAAAGTTTGTAAGGCACATATGAACTTTGTGTGAACACCAATTCAAGTCCAGCCTCAATTTCTTGGTTTAATTGAGGTCTTGACTCTGACTTGGCTGGTCCAGGACACAAACTTTGTGCCTGGTGCATGATGGAACATGATGCTTCAAGTGTCTTGCTCCAACATATCAACAAACCAGATAACTTTTATTCTTGGACTGGACAATTTTATTTCTGGTATAAAACCATATCTGTACTCAGCTCCTACATCTTCATCCTCTAAATTCAGGTGAATGCTCCTGTCAGTTGAAGGTGAAATCAAGGCTCTGTTACAGCTGATGGTTTTATGTTTGTGTTACACTGCCCACATTTCTGATTTGTTCAGAGATTCAAATGTTTCAGAGATCTGGGACGAGGCTAGATATGTGGGCCTTTGAAATATAAACTCTGTTATCATATTAAACCTTTGTCTGTTATTCTCTATTCTCAGGGTAATGGGGATCAGCTGTAACATCATTAAACCTAAGGAGGTGGCCAAACTCCACCCTCTTGTTAACATCCATGACCTGGTAGGGGCACTCCACCTCCCTGCTGATGCCGTGGTGTCTCCTCCTGAAGTGAACCATGCCATGGCTGTGGCTGCTGCTGGACAAGGTAACTCAAATTCACAACTTGCAAATTCAAATTCAACTCATTTTACTGTTTTGTCTCCCTCTGCTCACCCTCCTCTTCATTCTCATCTCCTTCCTTCATCCTCATCCTTTTCTCCTTTTTGCCTCCTTCTACATCTCTTCGTCTTTCTCATCCTATCCAGGGGTTCAGATTCTGGAGCGGACCAGTGTTCAGCAGGTTCTGGTGGAGAAGGGTCATGTGATGGCGGTGGAGACTGACCGGGGTTCCATTGAATGTGAATATTTTGTCAACTGTGCTGGACAGGTAAACCTTGGAGTAGGATTGTGGGATACAAATCAGCATCAACAAATCTCAGTGCCAGCCTAAATCAGAGAGTTTTTGAGGGAAAGCCTTTGTAAGCGTTTAGAAATAACCTTTATTTCTGCATTGATTCAATGTACAACTTGAACTTGATTCTAACCGACATTATACTATAAGATAAACACAATGTGACCAAACATGGGAAGGACTTACATGACAGTAAATTACTTGTGTATCATTCTTATGACAGTAGTGGAGTCAGTTGCCAGTTAAATGGTGGCAGCTGAAGTGAACCTTAGCCCCTAGTTTTGAGTTTGAGTCCGTACTGTTAATAGTTAATCTTATTTAATAAGTTGGTATGGTCAATATACATGTCTTCTTACCAGCAGATAGATTTATTTTCTGTCTGTGTCTCTGTCTCATAGTGGGCTTATGAGCTGGGCCAGGCTAGTGAGATGAAGGTGTCGGTTCCTCTTCACGGCTGTGAACACTTCTACCTCCTCACAAAACCTCTCCAGGACCCACTTCCACCCAGCACTCCAGGTCTCACACATTAACTCACAGGAAAATTAACTTTTTCTTGCAGCAGGCACAGTTACTAATTGATTTTAAATTCCAGTCACTTACTTTGTTTTACCAGCTAAATACTATGTCTGTAATATAAAAGAATGTACTGTGCAGTTTAATACTGCAACAAGCATCGCCCAGCCTAAGATGAAGTCCGTAGTTGACACCCAGTGACATAAGGTGAAGTTTGATCTGTGATTATATGCAATTACACTGTCAATTTCTACATCCAAACTTATACTTCTATAGCCAACAACTACATTAAATGAGAGGTTTCACCATCATCACAGTGGAGCGTTTGATAGTACCAACAATGTTAAATGCATCTAGTAGGAACTGGAGTAGGAATGCTTTCAGAAATACATATTGAAACGTAAACTCCCTTTATTTTGTGTCTCTGGAGATTGTGTGTGTGTGTGTGTGTGTGTGTGTGTGTGTGTGTGTGTGTGTGTGTGTGTGTGTGAGAGTGAGAGTGTGTGTGAGTGAGAGTGTGTGTGAGTGTGTGTGATCTCATTTATCATTTAATTTATTGAATTGAATGTCTCTTGATTCAGCCACTTGACTCTATGTGATATTTTACAATATACTCAGAAAATGAAAATCATTATTTACTTTCAAAGTTTAGCTTTCTGCATGTTGATATTCATTACATTAGGTTGCAGGTTGGCTAAACACAAGCCCAGAGAAGGTGATCTAACCAACTTGTGTCTTGTCTCCAGTGGTGATTGATATGGATGGCAGGATATATGCACGGCCATGGCAGGGAGGCCTTCTGTCAGGAGGCTTTGAGAAGAACCCCAAACCCATCTTCACTGAGGGCCGCAACCAGCTGGAGATCCAGAACATGCAGGAGGACTGGGACCACTTTGGTAAAGAGGAGAGGGAGGGATGGGAGTCCACAATGAGGTGGAGAAAGGGGAGGTACAGACAAATAAAAGGAAAAACCCACATTAAGTGTCTTAGTAAGGTATTGGGCCAGATAATGAACACCCTTCTTCCAAAAGATGTTTCCTCATTTGGTGTTTTGATGATGAGTGTGGCCTAACACGTTAGTCTGAAACCTCCCATAGTTGTTGTGTGCAATTTGGTTTGAGATGTGGTGACTGTGATGGCCATATCATACGATTCACATCATTTTCATGTTCATCAAACCCTTCAGTGACCCCTCGTGCCCTATGGATGGGGGAGCTGCCATCCTGGAAGAGACCATCAGGATAGAAATGTTTCATCATAGGATGAAGGTGATCACTCAGAACAACTTTGTGTTGATTTGCAGTGACCCTTCCCCAATGGGGTCAAGAGGACTCAAACTATGCCATCAAAAGGCGCTGCACAGCATAACAGAGGCAGTGGATCCCCTCAATGTAGGGGTCAAGCATTCAGGCCTGTACTGTCCTCCTGGTGTACGCCACACATGCACTCGCCCACTTGTGGAGAATATGGTGAAGGGTGACTCATCTGACCATATCACTCTTTTCCACATCTCTGTAGACCAGTGCCTGTGGTTTTCGCAGCACTGAACTCTCAAATGTGCATTAATCTTTGTAATTAAGTTTAATGCACTGCAACCCTAATATAATATCCCTCTCTATGTAATTTTTGACAGACCATTCTTGCTAACAGTCTGATCATGTCCTGCTTTGACATTCTCGATGACCTGAGGGACAGTTGCTCTTCGGTTTTTCTTTACATATCACACTAATGCACAAGCATCGCAGTCATCAAATGTGCACTGTCGACCACAATTTTTGACCTTATTTACTGACGTCTTTCATATAGATCTCAATGCAGATGTCACTGTAGTTATTGTTGCTATAGAAAAACGAGGCAGTTGAACAGTGTTTGTGACTGTTTGTGAAGTTCCTGCCCCAATAATGACCCCTCTTTAGATCTTTTCCTCTTTCCATCTTGATGCAAAATCAGAATCAACTGGGCCTGCTCAGCATTTTTACACATGATGCCACAGAGCATGATTGGATGTTAAGTGCTTAATTGTACCATGCAGTGCACACGTGTAGAAGCATCTGTATTTATAATTTTTCTCCACTCATTTATTTCGGTTTTTCCTTTTAATTTGTCTTGCATGATTTGTTGTTTGATAGATAATTGGCCAAATGTAAATGAGATGTCACAATGCCATCTTTTCTAGGCAGCCTCATTTAATACAAAACAGCCAATCTGAGTGAAATGGAAGATCTGTGTGTTTTTATGTCATGCTCTTAATTGGACTTCAACTGTAAACTATGTCCTACATTGGACCTCAGTCCACACACACACACACACACACACACACACACACACACACCTGTCCTTTGGCCTTGGCCTCACGCTAGTAATTTGAGATTTGAGATGAGTAATTCCTTGTGCAGCGTGACAGATTGTCAGAAAGACAGCAGTATATCACCAACCAACTCTGACCTACAGCAGAGTCACACTGATGTGTAGTGGGTTGTTCTACAGTTATTTTTCACATTTGCATATTGTATTTTAAAAGTAGTACTTTGAATAAAGTTTCATTAATGTATATGAACAAAAGGTATTTCACATCATAAATATGTACTACTTTGAAGGTAAGCAAGGAAAGTTCAGTAATGGCTGGGAAACAGTAAAAACTCTGTAAACACTGTGTTACAAGTCTGGGATTACATCTAAGAAACAAACTGAAATTGAAACTGAAATGTGTTATATTTTGATATCAAGAGATTGTCAAATTAATTTACGGAATTAGAGTTAACAAAAGAAGCATAATACAGTGTCTGCTGGCCCTGCACTTTACATTGTTGCCCCTGGGTCAACTGAAAGAAAACCTGCTGGACTGTTTATAGCTCGACATGGGAAGAGGGTGCAGCTCCTGCTGTGCAGCTGGAGCTTTAGCTTGTTGAGGCTCTCGCTGTAGTAAAAGGTTTGGGTTGAGTGTTGGTTGAACAAAAGGCAATTAAAGCCAACTCCAGTATTTATATTTTCATTTATACGAGAGACAGTAAAGAGGGGCAGAAAGACATGTAGCAGCCTCATTTTGTGACAGGAAACAGTGTGCTTTATGGGAAATGTAGCCTGACTGGCAGTACTGCTGGTATAGTTGCCTTTATCATGGCTTGGTTATGTAGCACTAGTATGAAAGTTTCTGATTTGAAAATGCAGTACATGGATGTGGACGTTTTAGGGAATTTCTAAAAAGAAAATGTATATCAACCTTCCTGTCTTCTTCCTCCAGAGCCAATGCTCAGTGCTCTGCTGAGGAGAATGCCTGGTCTAGAGTCAGCGGAGATCCATCAGCTGGTGAACTGTCCGGAGTCCTTCACCCCTGATATGCGCTGTCTGATGGGAGAGACGCCGGGTGTCTCAGGCTACTACGTGCTGGCTGGGATGAACTCCTCCGGTCTGGCTTTTGCTGGAGGAGCTGGCAAGTAAGCATGGGTATAAGTGTATTTTCTGGATGGTACTTTTGCGGACAAACATTACTAAATGGTTTTGAAGACTAGACTGCACTGTATTCTGTGCAACTGAAATATGTTTTACCCAGAAAATAGTTCAGCCTCAGTTTCATAATGGCAGTGATCAGCACTGTGATGTGTGTTTTGATTTCATTACAATGAAGCACAAATGGCATGTTTGTCTGATTTTGTATCAAGGTACCTGGCAGAGTGGATGACCTATGGTTACCCCACTGCCAACGTCTGGCCACTGGACATCAAACGCTTTGGTAATCTGCAGAGCAGCCGAACCTTCTTGAGACATAGAGTAATGGAAGTCATGCGTGAGTACTAAACTCTGTTGGTGCTTCAGTGCTTGATTGGTCCAGAAAAATGTTGCTCTTTAAATGTTAGCCCTATATAATATATATAATATAGCCCTATTGTGACAGGCTGGTTAAGATATTTAAACCATCTTAGTATTTTATTATCTGTTAAAGAAAATAAAAAAATTACACACTGAATGATTGACTCATTCTCTCAAGTCTAACTAGCTTATTAATTACCTGTCATTCATTCATCAAAGGTCATGCCAAGAGAAAATGAGTTTTCCAAATTTCTAAACTTTTTTTCTCAGGCACAAAGCCGGGAATTAAAAAGGGTAAAATTTAGGCGTCTGAGTTGAGAATTCACTGATTTGTTTCAGTTTTTCAGTGGGATTGTCTAATTTCTTTTTACAAACCAAAATTTATGACATCAGAATACTTGAAAGATGTTGCAAGAGGCTATAATAATATAAAGATTATAGTAGAAGAGCCGCACAGAACATTTGGTGATGACATTTGTAGGAGTTGCTACAACACAATTATATAGTCATAATTTAGTATTTCCTAAACCTTAAAGGTGCTAATTATTGTATGAATGTGTGTTTGTTTTTCAGTTTTTTGCTCTGGTCTGATTACGCCTGTGCTTTCAAAGTGTCTGTCTATGTTTGTGTCCAGCTCTGCTGTATGAACTGAAGGTTCCTCGCTGGGACTTTCAGACTGGGCGTCAGCTAAGGACCAGCCCTCTATATGACCGTCTGGACACCCAGGGAGCACGCTGGATGGAAAAACATGGCTTTGAAAGACCCAAATACTTTGTTCCTCCAGGGAAAGGTACAGAAAAGTCTTTAGTGAACCTCGAAAATAATTTTTTGATACATAAAAATACAAAACATAGTTTTCAGTGCAGTATAGGTCAGTAATTGTATTTCATCATGCTCAAGTCATACATTCACGGATAATAGGCTACCAGTAGAGTTTACATAAAACCAGTAACCATAAACTAGTATTTTGCAGGTGGCTGCTAATAAATTTCTGAGTGTATCACTGTTAACAGCAGTAGTATGTTCTAGCTAGAGGCTAGATGAGTCTTAAAATACTGGGTGGTGTGGTCAAATGCAACTGTCATTAGCCATCTTGGCTGAGGAGGAACCAGGTTTTCTTAATAAAATGGCCAAAAATTTGTATCTTTTACACTCGCACAATCAGTTCCCTCCTGTACAAAACACTGAAATCACATGCTGCTTGGTTGGATTAAAACCTTGTAGACCTGTTGATATTGTGCTGAAATGTTGTGCTGCATTTTCTTATTGAAGGATTTAGGAGGGCTCAATTGGAAAAGGCTGCTCACAAACTCTATAAAGGATTTTAAGAGCTCTTTTATTGCAGATTTCATAGTAGGAAGTGGAAAATTTAAATCTAATGAAGCGTAATGAATTAAATCATCTGGTGAAAAAACCTAGTTTCTCAGCCCTCCCCATTAAAAGATGAACTATTTTCCCTAAAGCATGCCTGGATTTATGTGTTGTATATATGTTGTATGTAAGTATTATATATGTATGTGTTTGTAGATCTGCTGTCTCTGGACCAGAGTAAGACCTTCTACAAACCAGACTGGTTCGATATCGTTGGAGCAGAAGTGAAATGCTGCAAAGAGGCTGTCTGTGTCATTGACATGTCCTCCTTCACCAAGTTTGAACTGACTGTGAGTCATGATGCACTATCGATGACTAGGGTTAATCAACACCAAATCACATAAGACAGAAATACATTTGATTGCAAAGTTTTCCAAGTCAAAGTGTGGTCTGTCCCGATGTCCCAGTCCACAGGAGACCAGGCCCTGGAGCTGCTGCAACATCTGTGTGCCAATGACCTGGATGTTCCTGTTGGACACATTGTCCACACCGGCATGTTGAATGAGAGGGGAGGTTATGAGAATGACTGCAGTGTGGTCCGCCTCAGCAAGAACAGGTTTGAAGCACCTTGAGAATAACACTGTAGACATGCAGTTTATAAAGACCTCACATTAACTCACATTTTTGCCCCCTGTCCAGCTTTTTCATCATCTCCCCGACAGACCAGCAGGTCCACTGCTGGTCCTGGATAAAGAAACACATGCCCAATGACCCACACCTTCACCTAGAGGATGTCAGCTGGAAGTACACAGGTAAGCACACAGCACCATTGTTGAGGTCCTGCGGGGATGTCGCCATCTACTGCCCACACAATATTACAGCGTGAAAGCAATGCATCAGCATCACACATCCACTTTTCTGCTCCTAACCCAGTTATTGAAGTGGCCTGATTCTGGTTTTGGTGTTTGTAAAATCGGTCACTCATGGGACCATGTGGGTTAATTACACATCCAAAATATAATTTTGTATATTTGTAATGTAATTACCTTAACTGTCGGAAATGTGAGCAACATTAGGCTTAATTAGGCCTCTATTTTTATATATGAGATAAAACATCAACTGGCAATCTATTCTAAATCTTACCCATAGCACTGTACACTGTGTCCTTACCCTAATGATCATAATACTTTTTATGCTAATTGATATTAATTCCTGACAAAGTTACAAATAGAATAAGCTCAGGTTTTATAAAAATGATGATACACTCACTAAACACTGTTTTCTCAGGTTTTCAGACGTGAATCCTCCCGGTTTAGTGAGAAGGATAGGTAGTGAACACACATGAAGCCATGCTTAGAACAGATTATTGTGAGTTAACATATTAACAGTGGTTGTGTGATCCAAGTCAGGAAACTTTAGGGTAAAAGTACCTGACTACGGCTGAGCTCAGTTCATCTGGTGATGAAGTATGATCTTTTACCCACAGCTTTGAATCTTATTGGACCCCGTGCAATGGATGTTTTGGCTGAGCTGTCATATGTTTCCATGACGCCCGACCACTTCCCGTCTATGTTCTGTAAGGTAGGAAACGATGGCTAATTACAATAACAATAGTAGAGTAGCTGAAGTAGTAGCAGCAGCAGTTCTTTAGGTTGCACCTTTGGTTGTAGTAATGGAAATACATATTGCTAATTGCAGCACAAGTAACTCTTTATGCCCGGTTATTAACCACAAATTTGCAGCTGTAGTAACTTACCATATGTGTGTATGTATGTTTACAGGAGATGAGTGTGGGCTATGCCAATGGGATCAGAGTGATGAGTATGACTCATACTGGAGAACCAGGCTTCATGCTCTACGTCCCCATAGAGGTGCGACCTACACACACACAATCATTATCTTGTTACCATTCCACAGGATGGTTTGTAAAATCTTAGAAAGTGCTACTATATATTTTGTACATCATGTCTAACATAGATATTTTCCTCTGCTCCCTACAGTACGCGCTGCATGTGTACAATGAGGTGATGTCAGTGGGTCAGAAGTATGGGATTCGTAACGCAGGGTACTACGCACTGCGCAGCCTACGGATAGAGAAGTTCTTTGCCTTCTGGGGTCAGGACCTCGATGCTTTCACCACCCCACTGGAGTGTGGACGAGAGTTCAGGGTTAAGTTTGACAAGGTCTGTTTCCAGTGCAGCTGTGTAAACACATCAAACTGCGTGATACCAGCCCACATGGAGTCTGAATTTTGCTTCTAGTTTTAAGTTACAAAAAACTTTTTATTTGGCCTCATGGTGTTTCAGCAGCAAGTTTTCACTGTTACCATGGTGATTTTGGTGAGGAAGAAATTCAACGATAATATGAGTATTAATGCTTTGTATTCCACTCAGTCAAATTATTATTGTACATGATGCTCTTTTGAAGGTCTTGGTTTTACTTGACCTTTTTTTTTTACTTTAAAATGGTTGGAGCACGAGAGAGGAGCAGAATAACAACAGGCTCTTTGCCATCTGCTTTACTGAAACCTTCAACATATGGGTTGTAGTCTTTGACGGGATGGAGAAGAAAATTTTTCACCAGACTGCACCTGCAGGCACAACAGGTGGCACTTTATGGTAAAGTTTACCATCTTTTCATTTTGAAAAAAGTGCGCTGTCTGCTGCATACATCCATAATGCCAGCAAAGTATTAATAATGGAGCCCACAGTGTAAAACTGGTTTCACAGATTGCATTCAGAGGAGCAGTCAGCAGCAGAGTCCATGTCTTTATCATGTTTTTGAAAAATGTGTGAAGTTAAGAAGCTGTGGTTTTCCTGCATTCATCCCAACAGAGCTGTGTCACATCTCAAGATGTTACTTGTTTGTAGGCCAGGCTCCTAATGCTCCCTTGCTCCCTTGTTTCTCTCTTCTCTTCCTCATCTTTTGCCTCCTCTACTTCCTCTACTTCCTCTCCTTGACGTTTTGTCAATTTCCCACACTCTTCTTTCTTTTTTCTGCCACACCTTCCTTCTCTCCTGTCTGTTCTCTATTCCTCTCTCCTGTCCTCCTTCCTCCACCAGGACACAGACTTCCTGGGTCGTGAGGCGTTGCTGCAGCAGCGTCAGGATGGCGTGTTCCGACGGTTCGTCATGCTGGTTCTTGAGGATCACGACACTGAGCTGGACCTGTGGCCGTGGTGGGGGGAGCCCATCTACCGTAACAATCATCTGGCTGGGACGACCACCAGCAGCGCCTACAGCTACACCTTGGAGCGCCACGTCTGCCTTGGCTTTGTATCTCCACCACCAGGCGAAGAGGGGCTCCCCACACCCATCACTCCGGACTTCATCAACCGTGGGGACTATGAGGTGGACATTGCTGGCCAGCGCTACCCGGCCAAAGCCAAACTCTACCCCTTCAGCTCCCTCTTCACCCAACAAAAACGCCGCAAGGAAGACATGGAGCTCAGCAACCTCCAGGGGAAGTGATGCAGAGTAATAGAAAACCCTCCAGTAGCCTCAGCAGGGGCTTCTGTGATACTCCTCCAGTTCACCAAATCCACTCCTGCACTTACCCCGCAGTGCCAACCTATCTTCCCTTTTCTGGCTCCTAATCAGAGGGCTGTTTGCACTATTACTCCTTGTCCCCCCAATATTTAACATCCACGTTGCATCGCTCTCTTTCGAAGTGCAATATTTAACAGGCATCAGATGCCTGAGCTATATCAAATACAGTTATTAAAGTCTGCAGTTCCTTTTCAGCCCTGCCCTGCTATACACTGTAAACACACTCCCCACAGTCTCAAAGGCTGCTTTACTGGGACAGTCTATGGTTAAGTGCCTTTGTCAAGGCAACATGAACACTAGCTGTTGAGAACTTATTCACTTTGTTCACTTTAACCCATCCGGAAGGGGTTTTGAATGACAATCTTTTCCAGTAGTGCTCCAGTCACTGTAACGCTTCACACTGCATGGTCTGGAAAAGTCTGAAAGAAAGTCAGCGCTGATTTGCAAATGCCTACACAGTCACTGTAGATGTTGACTCTGTTGTCATTTTTCAAATTGTAAATTTGCTGCTGTAAAGAAAATGAGTGATCTGATGTGATGCGTGTCAGCCCCACTACATTATACTTGACAATGAAGGAACATATCCTGGAAAGGCCTGGAAAAGCCATGAGAAAGCATTAAGAGGCCTGATATAATCATTAGTAAACCATTGTTTACCCCCCCCCCCCCCCCCCCCCCCCCCCCCCCCCCCCCCCCCCCCCCCCCCTCCCCCCAGTCACTGCTCTTCCAGTCCTGTTGAAAAGGCTTCCCAGGCTCCTGAAAGCCTGAAAGCCTTTTCCCATTTTTATCATCAACTTTCAGATGTTCTGATGTTATTTTTGCTGTGAGTCAAGCTTGTGGTAATGTATTTATGGTGATATAATCCAACCTGTTATTTACAGTGCAATCAGAAAGTACTCAGACCTTCAAATTTTTCACATTTTGTTATGCTGCAGCCTCATGCTAAAAAAGAAATTCCAGCACAAGGCTGCAACATAACAAAATGTCAAAAAGAGTAGGGGTCTAAACACTTTCCGAATGCACTGTGTGTTTGCAGTAGTTTGGACTCAGCATTGCTATTTTGATGCTAAAGTTTTGTTTTATTAATGTTGTTGAATGTGTGGCTGATGTTAGGTGACCCAAAGATAAGGGAAGCTAGGATGGGAAAGCTGCGACCTTAGCTGTAATCCCAGACCTGTTGGTTGGAGTCCATGATATCTTACATTGGTGATTTGACTTTTACCTGAGTTTAGATGTTTGTGTAAAGCAAGGACTTCATTGCAATTTGAAATAAAGCAATGTATTTTTATATAGCTAGTGCGTATAAAATCTCTATTTTCTGTATTGCACATTTTTTCTACATCTGTTTTAAGTTTAAGAGCAGCAGGCCTTGAGCTGATAGGGATTTAATGTGTTGCTCGGTAACACTTCAGCAGCATTGATGTGAAGAACAATGCTCAGATAGTGTTTCATTAGTGTGTGGGTCTTTTGATGTCAACAGGCTCTGCACCAAATTGCGTTCTCACCAGATGGGAACTTGCTAAGTCACTGGGCACATACACTGAGTGCCTTGCTTTAGAAGGGTAGAACATGTTAAGATTAAAGGCTGAAGCTTTGATGCAAATGTAAACAAAAAGCCCCAGCACCACCAGTCTTGCAATCACTCCCCACCTGATTGAAAGGCGTATGAATACACATCTCAGCAGTGGGCACCGGCCTATCTTTGTTGCTTATTTTCCATTTACAGTGTATCTCCAACTTTTTGTTTATACCTGTAGATTATTTGTTTGGGAAATTACAGATTAGTCGCATTTGCTCAGTTTAAATACAGTACAAGATTTATTTATTTCCTTTTTCATATCTTGAGTAGCAGCAGCACTGTTCCAGCTTGCATGTTGCAGAAAAGCAGCTGCTATGCTGACAAAACAAGAATATAGAAGGCCTCATTAAATTTTACGCCACCACGCTGGTGACAGCCTGAGGCATTATGTTTTCTGGTTGTCCATACCATTCTTGTGAACGCGCAATCTCAGTAAGGCTTTCTTCAAATTTGGCACAACCCTTCATTTGGACTCAAAGATTAACTGATTAGATTTTGGTGGTCAAACGTCAAGGACACTATGACCTCACTAAACATGTTTTTGACCTTAAGTGAAGCATTTATATACTTCTTATGACACAGTTCAAAACAAATAGGATAAAACGTTGAAGTGACGACATGATATATCCAATCGGTCAAAGGTCAACTTCACTGTGACATCATAATATTTATCCTCGTCTTACCTGGTTGCTGGAGGCATACACTCGAGAGGCAGTGATTCTAGTTGTACTTGTTTTACTTTGACTTGGGTATGAATCCATATGTTCAGTGTACAGTTACAATTAATGAGCTCTTGCTCATGAGATTTGACAGGAGCCAGTCTTAACAGTAGGATAACAGCGCAATTCTGTACATTTTACAACATGGCTGCTGCACAACTGCTGCCGTTGCTTGTACAATGAAACCAGCTGCGAAAGGGAGTCAGATGTTGCTTATAAAGGGCAATTTTTTCTTCATGTGTGTGCTTGTATGTTTGTAAAAAGGCGTTAATATGAAACAAAATATTTGCATGTGAGGGTGCAGTGACCTATTATCTGTCTATGTGTCGGTGCAGTCTGGATTCAGTCAGTTTCAGGGCTGTCACCATGGTGCTTTGGCTCTTACCTCTATACTGTAGAACCAACAATTCTCTCGCACAGTGGTGCCCTGCTTCGGCTTGATGTGATTCACCTCTTTAACACTAACCTACATTAGACTGGAAGTCTAGTCTAATGATGCAATTTATCATTTCCAAAAATTGTGTCCAGTTCATATCAGTACTGTATGAATAAGGCGTCATAAATAAGTTGAAAATAATTAATTAGTTCAACCAAAGCTTGTCCCTTTAAGTTCACGCACTTTGGACAGAGCTCAGCAGCTCTCTGTCTTTTATCATCACAAAATGCTTCATATCCAAGTGTCCAGTGGTTTGTGGAGAGCACACACTGTTCACTGCAAAAACCACTGCTGTGGTGGACTCATCACATGACCTGTTAGTCATTTCAGCTGTGGTGATTTATTTTTTTATTACTTGCATGGTAAAAGTGAAATGGTCCCAAACATTTGCACTAAACGTAGGGTCACAGGGTTTCTGTACAGGTTTGAAATTATTAATAACAGAGGTATATTGAATGTATCAGGTTACTTGGATTTCAAAGGTTAAAAAAGTGCAGAGAGCTATGGTCGTATAAGTATAAATATAACATACTGTATATCATAAAGTTTAAAGTATTAAGAGAAATGGTCATAATGGATGTCCAGAATAATATACTACATAAAGAGAAATCGGTTGTGTTGATGACTGACCAGTCAGAGGGTTGTGTTGTCTGTCTGAAATGCAGAAAGCAGTTTGGTACATGTTTGTCTCCTATCTAATGTTCCCATTTTAACACTTGTCATACTGGACTCATCTGTAAATGCCGGCGTTTGCCCCAGAGCTTTACACTGTTGTATTGATTAAACAGATGTTTGGCTGTCTAATGTAAAATATAAAGAGAACTTTGTTCATACCAGAAGGTTGACTTGGCTTGATGTGTTAATTTCAGGTGTGTGTGTGTGTGTGTTGCATGCACTCAGGAAGGCTCTAACACGGCCAGATTCAAGGTTTCAGTCCCCATGGCTACCAGCTGTGTAGTGTTTCTTGTGTGAAACCTTGCATTGTTTAATCTTCCTACACGGAGCCATCAGTCTGTTTCTGTGCTGTCTGCAAACATCAGTCTGAACGCCTGCAGTGAGACTGAAGGTTTATTCATGTGTCAACAGTCACAGCAGAGGACTGACACAGCTGTTCTCTGCTCATTAATAACACAATCTCATATTATTCCCACAAATGAATTGTGTAAGATCAGCTCAGAGCCAGGAAAGTTACACAACAAAACACTTTATTAACATATTACAACACAACAGCTTCCTACTGCAGTGCATTCTGGTTTGTGGAGATCACGTCCTTCTGGCTTTACGCGGGCGGCATCCATTGTGTGGCACAGGGGTGCCGTCGGTGATTGATACCACCTCCAGGCCTCCCATTGTCAAGCCTTTGATTGCAGACTGCACAACAGAGATAAATTCATTCATTAACAAAACTAACCGGAACAAATCACAATGTTTGTGACTCCCTAAACACTTTAAAATGACCCTCGTTGTAACAAGTCTGATATGAAGCTTATTTCTTCTTGCAGTGAAAGGTTTATTTGTGCTGGCCACTGTTAAAACACACAACCGGGTCAGTAGTGCAAGATACAAAACCTGTTTCTTTCATCCTGTTGTGTTGCGATTCCACTGTGGCCCTTTTTACACTTTCTAAACTTTCACGTGCTTAACTGTAAATTTGAAACATAAAACCAATTTTGCCAATGAAAGGACAGAGTGCAAAATATAAACTGAGTCTCTTTAGGGTTTTTGACTGTTCGACAGACAAAACAAACACTATGAAGAAGTTGGATTGAGAAATGGAAAATCTCTCTTTAATGACATTTTATAGACTAAGTAATTAACTGAAAAAATAGAATCCGTAGATTAATCTATACGAAAATAATCTGTAGTTGAAGCAGCAACAACTTTCAAGATTCTGCAGATAATGCAGACCCCCAATTTACTCCTTGTACTCACCAAACGTCCAGGACCAAGACCTTTGACCACGACACGAACAAACGTGACTCCCTTTGCTGTGGCTTTCTGTTCAGAGGAAGAAACATTGAGAATTAATGTGTATCATCAATCTGACCCTCCTGTTCTAAACAGCAGAGTCAGATTTAGGACTGAAAATCTTTTGGTTGGGGACTGTTGGTCGCACAGACCTAGCAGTTCAAGACATCATACGGGGCTTTCACAGAAGTTGTGTATAGCATTGTTTCATGACATTTTCTAGGCCAAGAAATGAATAATTTTCAGAAAAAATAAACAGATTAATAGGTAATGAAAATACTTGTTTGCTGCAGGCCTAAATTATAGTCAGTAGTGTAGAATAGCTTGAGGTTAACCAGCATTACTTTTAGAGATTTTTTAATTACTAACAAAACAAGAGATACTGTTCTTGTTAAATGTCTTCTTGCCATCTTTTTCATTTTCAGCATGACATGTGAAAACAGTTTAAAGGTCAGAATATTTTCACCACTTGACAATATACAACACTAAGGCAGCCTGATAATCAAACTTAATTTCTCCAGTGTTTACTGCAAGGAAAAAAAAAAACTGTGTGACCCTAACTGTGTTCGCCAGCAGCCCTCTAAATTAGCTTTTTAACACCGACTGCTCCACTCCGTCAGAGTCCTTAGAGAGGGCCGCTAATTTACAACACACATTTAATATCCAGACACTACATGTTGTTAAACAGAGCAGAGAAACAGCAGGGCTGAAATAACAAGGTGTTCTCACAATTATACAAGACTGTCCTTTAACACAAAAGACAAAGCCCCAGCAGTCATGTGGTTGTTGTCCAAATATCCTTGAGAAAGACACTGGACCTCCAAGCTGCTATCTCACATTAAGTTATGAGTGTCAATGTGAGAACTTACCTTTGCAGCAGAGATGCCTGCAGTCTGAGCAGCGATGGGTGTCGACTTCTTGATGTTCTTGAAGCCTTCTGTTCCGCAGGATGTCCTGACCATCGACTGTCCCGCGCTGTCTGTCAGCTGGATGTGTGTGCTGATACAAGAAAGCACAGTTTACTAGGTCACTGACTCACAACTGATTGGCAAGTTTATTTCTTGAATTCTCAAAGCAAGCCTTATGTTCCCCACAACTGATGTGACTGCATCACATAACTGCTAATAAAAGGGCTGTTCTCTGTGAGACCTCCGTGCTTCCTCTGGTTTGAGTTCTGACCCACTCAGCTTGTACTACACTCCTGAATCAACATCTACCATTTGTTTTTATCTCACCTGTTTCAAGTTAAGAATAATTATTATTTATTAAAGACAAGGTCAACGTAGAAATGTGATTTCACTGTTTACTTTCAATTTTAAGTTTTATTCAATTTTCATTTCATTTCATTTTCATGTTCAATTTCTTGAAATAACAGATTAAAGTATCCTGAGTTCTAAATGTGCAGAAGATAATGCCCAAAATATTTGCACAAATATTCCTGTTTATTATCACTTGCGCAGTTTCCACTTACTTGTTGTATGTGGCTTTAATGTGAAGGATTGGTAACTCATCAAACTTCTTTCCACCCCAGCTCAGTGAACTGTCCTGACCAGGCAGTGGAGGAAAATGGCTGCGGGGTTAAAAAGAATGATCTCATCAGCAGTATTCTACTGCACCGAGTAGTGCATCTACTAACTAAGCAAACTGCACATAACATTAAAATGGAAATACTACAATTCTGACCTGAAGTCTTTGGAAGTTTTCGCAGAGTCGGTGGCGGATGCTGCGCTCTGCTGAAGTCGGGCAGCACTGCTACATAATGTTCGTTGCAGGCCGCTGCTTCCACATCTATAGACACAAAGTTTCATTAGCAACACCTTCATAAACCAGCGTTCATTTCCTTTAGTTAAAAACTAACCTCTGCTCTGAACATATGTACATTTAAAGACATGCTGCACAACTGTCAGAATTTATCACAACTAGCCGTTAGCTAACAAGGTTGCTAGTAAAACATGTCAATGAAACACTTACAGAGAGCTTCCATTTGCATTCAGACTTGCAGCCAGCTGTCGACATACGTTACTCACAGAATTAGCTAATATACAATTGAATTTATACATGTTTGATACGTTTATTAACGGTCAGACATTGAGCTCTTTTCCACACAACAAACGTGACATTGAAGGTGCTTCAATTCCAGATCAGACCAGTAAAAGGTTTATTTTTTCAGGGGTGGTGAAATCATAATAACATTATTTCTTACAATAACAAATACTAGTTTTACTTGTAAATTTTATCGTAAAATGTGAGTTTTGAATTAATACACATTAAAATATATATCTGTAGTACGTATAATGATGTATTTTTGTTTTCAAAAGGCATAGTCATTTCATCTTACCCCACTTTTATCAGAATAGACTGTTCGTTTTTCTGCACAGGATTGTGGGTAATAATAGGAAAATGCTGCTTTCATGGACTTCTGTAAACCCTCGCAAAATAATGGTATTACCATGAATATTCACTTGAAGTAAAAATTTGTCTGCTTCATCCTCCAGAGAAATGACAAGAGAACGCCTTTTATCAGGCACTAGCGTCAATATTTTATTTGCAATTAATTGTTTTGTATTCTGGTATCGTGAGAGGAGTAATGCGGTTGAAAATCACGCTTCCATCATGTTTTCATCAGTAATAGCCAGCGTCACGATTTTCGCATATACCTTGAACGTAGCAGAAGAAGATGGCTGCGCCGTGTGGAAGGATGGCCAGTCGACCCATGTTACAATTTCTGTCTTGTTTTAGCAGGGCAGCGGTTGGAAACACTGGGTTTCGTCAATTTTCCGGCACTTCTGTTTGTCGGGCGACTTTGCAGAACAAAAGTGAGACAGAAAGAGCGAGTTCTCCGTGGGCTTTGATGGCGGCGGTGTGTCTGCAGAGGCTGCCGGTCATCTCAGCGGACAGCACTCCGATAGAGCAGCGGTTCAGTGCGATGATACAGCAGGTGCGTTTGTTGGGCTGAAAGAGGAGCAGAGAGCCATGTAGACAGAAACAAAATGCTTTACTAACTATGGTGGACCACAGGTGAGCAATTACAGGAAAAAAAAATACTCACATTTCCCACCCAGGTGATACAAAGAAATGTGTGACCCAACAGGTAACATTGCACGTAGGTCATAGAATTTAATATAACCCTGCGAAAACCTGGCATTTGCTCTTATTTACAATTCTGGTTTACCAAAGCAAGTAACTGCAGAAGGTCATAGACCGCTAAAACCCAAAGTTACTCCTTATCATTTTTGCCCACATGATTTGCACATTTGTCAGATATTTGCTCCACTAAAGTAGAATATGAACTATGACGGGTTCTCCACCCTCTTGTCTTGTGTCCCTGGTCTTGGAGAACGACCCTGTGTAGAATGTTCAGACCTTAATAATTTTACTTTAAATTGTGTTAATTTGTTATACAGCTGTGTTTTATCAAATTTCTTGAGTTTTCCTCAGTGAATAATACTACCCTGTGTGTCTTAATTACACAGACGTTAATATTATTCATAAGAGTACAAGAAGGCATCAACTAACACACGTTTTCAGTTGTTTCCTTCAATAACCAATTGATTGCTTAGTGTATAAAATGTCAGACAGAGGTGAAAAATACCAATCATTATTACCTGGCTGAAGCCCAATTAACATATTCAGATGTCGTTTTTTCTGACCACCAGTCAAATACACAAACATGTTGTGTTTACTGTCATAGAAAACTGGGAAAGTAACCGATGTCAGTATTTCCATTTCAGAAGTTGGTACCAGAGAATTTTTAAGTGATTTATCAATTATCAAAAATAATTTCCAATAAATTTACTGGCAACCCACTAATTGATTAATCAACTAATCAGTCCAGCAGTAGTGTATTGCTTGGGGATATAAGAACAGTTTACAACTGGGGACACTAGTGGCACAACAAAAATTTTTCTCCAGGGCCCTGTAGCAGGTTAATCTGATCATAACTCATAACTCATGAAATATGATTCAAACACTTTTCTGAATATTTGCAGAAGTCATACCAGCACATTCACTTTTACCCTCTTCCTTTTGTTATAATTATATCCTGAAACACTTCAGAGTTTAAATTAGTTTGTCGTTTTAAATTAGTGATAAAAGACAAATAAGAGACTGTCTCACACAAATTAGATATGTTTGAAAAACACAGTTTTATCATGCTTATTATCATTAAAGTCTTTACAGTAAAATCTCATTTGTGCATATGCCTTCAAGTGTCATACTAAATTAATGATGGAGTAATGTAGGATTATCATGCGTATTATTTTCTCCATATATTTCTGTGATATTATCATTTTATATTGTTGTAGACCATCTATGCTGACACACTCTGTAATCAGCTGTCATAGTTAAATGCTGAGCTTGAATATGGGGAGGGATGAGGGTTCAATGTCAGTCATATTTCTCCACCACAATCGAAAAATGTCCTGCAGTTTGACATGGAGACCTGCCCTGACTTGATTTCAGATGGAGTTGGAGAAAAGCCTGCTGTCGGACCACGAGCTGCAGCTGCTGGAGGATGCGGAGAGGATGAGTCGCAAGATGGCAGGCGACTACAACTTTGATGAAGATGACGACGACAACAAGGACCAGAATATCGTGTTGGCTCAGGACAAGGAAGACTCCTGGGAGCAGAAGTTTAGGAACTTCCAGCCAGCACCGAGGGTCAGAGGTCAGTATGGAAATATTAACTCTTTCACCAGTGCGGTATAAGTGAACCAGAATATACACATTCTGAAATATACTTAAATATTATGAATGTGAATGATGAAAAAGCTGATATATTAAAGTATGCATCCTTTGTTTTGTTTCAATCATTAATCAAAGATGAAAGAAAATTGGATGATCTGAAGGCCTGTCACACAGCTGAGTTTAAAGTAGATCACCAGTGAGGGAAGAGACTTGTGTTACTCTCTGCAGGATTGTAATGTTTTTCTGACATTCAGAAAAACTATTTGCTGCAGCTTTTCCAATTTGCCTTATACTCCCTGTGACATTTCAAAAGTTGGTGTAAATTTTGCTCGACAGTCACAGAGAGACATCGCTGCTGTGAAGCAGCTGACGGTTCTGTCTCTTGCCTCTTGTTTAGCTGATGTGGATAAGGACTTGACCTCAGTGGAGCGCTGCCTCGCCGACTCGCTGGTTCTTCTGGCTGAGCAGCAGGTTGGCAGTGCAAAGCTGTGGCTGCTGCCTCAGACTCAGTGGCAGGAAGGAGAGACGCTACGACAGACAGCTGAGAGAGCCCTCGCCTCCCTGCCAGGTAACATGAACATGTTTAAATGAGCTGCTGACATTTTATGCTGGGTTTTATTTTAGTTGCTCAGTGTTTTCCTGTGCATTCTGTCAAATCACAGAAAAACAAAACACTGAAATAACTTTTTCAGTGTTTTGTGCAGCTCCTTAATGCAGAGACACTTACCATTAACTAACTTTTAAATATATTAAATTACTTACTAAAAAGTGAACATGTCAGGTTTTCCACCCTGAAGAAATGTCAGATACTTCAGAGATAGATAACATGAGCTGATATTAAATATTTAAAGCCCCCAATTTTAGAAATTGTTATGTGATTATACTATTATTAAATTACTGTAAATTACTAAAATAGAATAAGTTTTGAAATCCTACAGACCAATTAACCTTCAATTACAGGCTCATTTAGCATTGATATATACACTGAACTAAAATATAAACGCAATGCTTTAGTTTTTATTCCCATCTTTTGTGAGTTGAAATAAAAGATCTAAGACTTTTTCCACACACACAGACGGCCGATTTCTCTTCATAAATGTGTTTAAATCCGTGTTAGTGAGCACTTCTCCTTTAGATCATCCATCCACCTGACAGGTGTGATATATCAAGATGCTGATTACACAGCTTATTGCACAGGTGTGCCTCAGGCTGCTCACAATAAAAGGCCACTCTAAGACATGCAGGTTTATCACACAGCACAACGCCACACACGTTGGACGTTTTGAGCTTGTGTGCATTTGGCATGTTAAACGTCTACCAGAGCTGTTTCCTGTGAAATGAATGGTCATTTCACAACCATAAGCTGTCTTCAATGTTGTGCCTGAGAATTTGGCAATAATGAGTGGTGACATGTGGTCACAACCGCAGACCACATGTAACCACGCCATCCGACTTCCTCACCTGCTAGATTGACATCTTTGAGACTGGCCACCCAGACAGAACAACCAAACAATTTCAGTAAAACCGCCTGAAACCGACTCGGGGAAGCTCATATGCATGGTCGTCGTCCCCACCTGGGTCTTGACCTGACTACAGTTTGTCATCGTAACCGACTTGAGTGGGCAAATGCTCAGATTTGATGGCGTCTGGCACTTCACTGATGAATCCAAGTCTTCCCTGCACCGGGCAGATGGCAGACAGCGTGCATAGCGTCATGTGGGTTAGCAGTTTGATAATACCAGCGAGTGCCCCGTGGTGGTGGTGGGGTTATGTTCTGGGCAGTAAACAATAAACACAGGAGCATTTCATTAATGGTAATTTGAATGCACAGAGATATTGTGATATTGATACTGTGACGAGATCCTGAGGCCCGTTGTCGTGCCGTTCGGTTGCCGCCATCATCTCATCCTGCAGCTTGATGATGTGTGGCCCAGTGTTGCAAGGATCTGTACACAATTCCTGGAGGCTAAAAACTTTGCACTACATGAGGCAAATGGTGGCCACACCAGGTATTGATTCTTTTTATGATCAACAACCTTCCCAATCAAAAAAAAATGTACATCAGTAGCCAAAGTCGTCCATAATCCATAGTTCAGTGGCAAATAAATGTTTTTTCAAAGTAAAACTGCACATTTTAAACTTGCCCTTTATTGTGACCAGCCCAAGGCACACCTGTGCAATAATCATGCTGTGTAATCAGCGCCTTGATGTGCCACACCTGTCAGGTGGATGGATGATCTTGGCAAAGGAGAAGTGCTCACTAACCCATTTGTGCACAAAATCTGAGAGAAAGAAGCCTCTTGTGTGTACAGAAAACAACTTGGAGCTTTTATTTCAACTCATGAAAAATGGGAGCAAAAACAAAAGGTTTATATATTTTTTAGAATATGTACACACACAATAGCCTGGTGTCAAGACAGCAGTGAACGCACAACATTATATTAAGTATATCTAACTGAAGAGGCTGATATCCTTCAGCTATTTGAATTGAATTACTAACATTGTCTCTATAATGTAAAGCAAATGGTAATCCATAACGTGTGTATTCACAGAATTATTAAGGTTTACCTTAAAGAGTCATGACTTTAAAAATGAATGAAACATGCTGCAATCAGTAAGCATGTTATCCTGAAAACAACTTCAGATTTCACTGCTTTCTGTGAGACCTACCACTTATTAACTCTGGGATATATTCAATTTGACTTTGAATTCATTTATAATGAAAAATGTGAAGAGAGCTTTTTTCTTTAGCTGTGGTCTGTAGAGGTGGATGACTCTGGCTGATGTCAGGTTTTTAAAGCCCTCATGCACAGAGCTTTTATGTGATTGTATCTAAATTTATATTCATAACGCTACTTTTAACTCATAGAGCCTTTCTCCAGATTCTCAAACATGTTTGAATCCTATGAAAAGGAGCTTTATTAAAATCTATTTGTCAATGATACATCAGCAAACTGAGCTTCTGTGTCTAAATACAGTTCATAATAGAAATAGGGGGCAGGGTGGGCTTTAGACTTAGACTTGAAAGAACACCTGCATCATGAACTAAGGGTGTGGGGTTTCAAAGATGAGTACATTTAACAGGTTAGGAGTGACTAATAAAAAATGCTCCTGAATTGCACTATGGGTATTGTATGATCCAGCCTTTGTGAAGCTTGATTCAAACTAGAGACAGACATTCAGGCTTTAATTTTTTGCTTTTAATTTTCTCTTTAAAATCAATCCCTCACAAGTCACCCAACTTTGTGGAAGTGCAAAACTAAATTGCTTTAACCACACTTGTACGTCTGTCCGCTTCCTTTAACTGTTAAACTGTAGTTATTGTTAAAAAATGCTGCAATCAGCAATCACACTATCCCTAAAACAAGTTTGTCCAACGTCCACAGCTTTCCATGTAAAACACAGTAAAAAAACGTCTGTGAAAGTATTTCCTGTACTGATGCACGTTTATGTCAGTGCATTATATTCTTATCTATTATATCAATGCACTAATGCCACTTAAAATCATATTTAAAGGAACTGACAGAGACCTGATGCTTTATGATAAATAACTGACTTTATGGTTCTATCCTTTTTTAATTGAACATTAACTGTAATCAAAACACAGAATATTGAAGGAGAGCTTGTGGGAATTGGTTATAGTGTATTTCAGTGAACCCCAAAATCATTGCTTAGAGCAGGATACCAGGTACTATCCATACGATAAATATCAGCTGTTATAGGTTTTGTTATTGTCAACACGCTTCATTTGCTGTAGTCTTACTGTATCTACATCCTAATCTCTTTTAGCAGTAATGACCCAGTTCTGTCCCACGGATCATTAAAGTTTGATGTGATTTTATCTCGAACACCTCTGTGGTATTAAAGTACAATCATCTATTATTATCGACAACAAGAGGGACAAACCATCTTTAAACCTCCAACCTGCAACTCATTTACATACACAGCATTTTTAGACCAATGACATTCCAGTAGTTGTTTCCAGCCTGTCATCTCCACTTAAACCTCTGATGGCTTCAGTTCATGAATCAGCTGCATTATAAGCAACTCATAAGGAGGGAGTTAAAGGTCAGAGGTCACAGCTGGCAAAGGATGGAACAAGTATTATATCCAGTGACCCTGGTGTGTTCCCTCATACAAGATATTTAACCTCAACTGTGAAATGCGCTGGTTCTTCATATTTTTTTTTTGCATGTGGTGGAACGAAGCCTTTAAGCTCTTAAGCATTTAAATAAAACCAGTGAGTGAATATCTTAAACTGTTTCACAACATTGCTCATGAACTATTAATGTGACAACTCCATCAATCACTCCTCATAAAGACTTTCCACTTGACATTAACGTATGCCATTAGGTGAAGGGTTTTATTTAAAGAGTCTTACAGTAGCAGGGCTTGATCCATTTTTAATATAGCTGGACTGAGTGGGGATTGGATGTCTAACATGGCATGTTGAGCCAACTGGGGCCTTGGGATTTAGATGACATGAGATTAGATTAAAACTTAATTGAGAGAAATGTGTTGTTGCCCCGGCAGAGAACGAGAACAGTATTAGAGTAATATAACACTTAATTACAGCAGTCAAACACTGAGAATCCAGAGGAATACAGCAAAATACAACTGCAGCTTCATAAATTCTGTGCAACTGCATAAAGTTTAGGAACATCTGCACTTAAACTCACCTTTTGCCTCCAGCTGCATGAACTCACAGCTTGTTCTCTTCCCACAGCAGCCGGTTTCAAGGCGACTTTCCTCAGCAACGCCCCCTGCGGAGTGTACAAGTACAAACTGCCCAAAGCTGCTCGGACAGAGGGCTCCGTGGGAACAAAGGTGTTCTTCTTCAAGGCCATTCTGTCAGACAGTGGCCCCCCCGCAGCCCCAACCTCTTCTTTTGTGTGGTTGAAGAAAAGCGAACTGCAGCGCTACCTGAAACCAGCCTACATGATGAAAGTCGACCGCTTCATCCTCGACCTGTGAAGCCTAAACTTTATCCCAGAGACACTGACTTACAGAACAATATTTAAGAGGCCCAGAAAGTTATTTTTATCACTTGTCTGTTGTCTTGTATCATAGAAAGTTCTCTCAGTCAATATGACAAGTGTGTTTCATTGTATGAATAAATTGTTTTTCCACACATATTGTGTGCATCATGAGTGTTCAGATCTGACCTGTATCTCATATGACAGTGTAATATCTACACCAGTCTGTACTTTGACGTATGAGTAAAGAAAATCTTTATATAGCTTTATATAAGGAAGCTAAAAGTAACTTTAACCAAAGTCTGCTTGTGGTTCGTAGTTGCTGACTGCTGATTCCTCAGTGTCGTGAATAAAGGTCATGTCCTCCCTCAAGCACCGAATCAGCCAATAGCAGGCCTCCCCAGGGTGAAGTGTCATCTCTGCATGACATCAGCCCTCACAGCTTCATGCACACCTGTTCATGATTACAATTACCCGTCATGCATTGTATCCAATACAATATTCAATATATTAAAACATAGAGAGGGAAGCTCATGTAAGATATTGGTTCATTAAAATGTTAAATTAGTAAACAGGGATCATTTTGAATGCTTATCTGTGGAGGTCCAAAAATATCTGGATAATTGAAGTGTGAACAATAAAAAATAACATAAAAAAAATTTAGGGATCAGTATAAAAATAAAACATTTCCATACATTGTTCAGTGTGAAGTTGATATATTTAGCATCATTTTAATTTCTCATTTCTATGTTTTGGTCTTCATTGTCTTTCAAACTCACCACAACTATCGTATTTCAAAGTTTAGCTAAAATAATAATTATTGCCGATATAAATGTGCATAGATGGTGTGTGTATAGAGACAGACGCTTATCTTTTATTAATCTGAGTAGCTGCTGCCTCAGCTGGTGACTCCTCACACAGGAGACCTCTGAATTTCTGTAATTCCAGAGCAGAGACCAAGTTTGAACTCGGAGGAACATTTATGAATGACACAGATTCTTAGTTGTAAGAATAAGAGCTAAAGCATTCAGGGGTGAAGAGCAGATGACTGTGTTACAGCACAGAGGACACGCTCTTTCCAACGTAAATATTATTTTTTGGAAAGATACAAGGTTTGTTCACGTAATCACAACATGAACAAGGTGAAATGATGTAATTCATGACCTGATGGATCCAGCACAATACAATTAAATGTTCACACACAGGAAGAAGTGGTTCTTCCTAATAATCACATTAGCCACATTTATATTAATTATAATTAGAAAATAATTCACATTTTCTATTGAGTGGGTTATGAAATAAAGAGATGGTTTTCAAGAGCAACAGTGAATGAAAAAAATGACAAATGAAACCAGTTGTAAATACATTACCCTGTTTTTATGGAAAGCTTTTCTTATTTAGGTCAAACCCTGAGCTGCCACTAACAGTTCCCACCTCAAATGGTTTACTCTATCCTTCCTTTACTACTTGTACATTTTTAAGAACAATCTCCCAAACATTACATCTGACATTGTCAACGTAAGTGCAGTGTGAATTATTTTGAATAAGCTTCCCTCTTGAATTCCTCTTGATATTGAATATAACATGTTGGATATAAGAGCTGTGACGGGACGTCTCTGGAGGCCTGTTATAGGCTTGAGTGCCTGCTTGAATGAAGACATTTGGAGTAGACATGATTGTAGTCCTTATTTAACAACCCTCTGGAGTCACTGCACCCAACACTCATGAAGAATCACAATAGACTTTACTAAAAGTTCCTTCAGCTTCATTATACAAAGCTTCTGAGTTCTGCTTAGGTTTTATACATACTTGTCCTTTTCAATCATCAGTCAGAAATTCAGTGGGCATGAGAAAAATTGTTAGCTTAAACAAATGCCACATTAACTTAGAGTAGTAGCAGTTGTCTTGTTTTGTTTTTTAGTGCTGCAGCTCTTAATGAGGACACATCTAACAATGAAAACTGAACACCACATGTTGGTGCAGTGCTGAGTGCACCCACACAGTGGGCAGGCCTGCTGGAGGTGAACTGTTGAGCCTCAGCAGTGGGCCAGTTCTCATGCTCCAACAGTAGATGGCAGTATTTGCACACCTGCAGCAGAGGAGCACAGTAAGAAGCTGTGTAATTAGGCCTGTGTGTGTGTGACCTCAGAGGGAGACTGCAGAGAGAGCTTTTCTGATCAACTTGGCTTCCTCTTACTTATACTGAAAATATCCATCATAGCAGGCTAATGTTCCTTTGGAGGAGCTATGATAATTTGTCTTAGGTAAGAGCATTCTGATGTTCCTGACCTATTCTTCGCCTGCGATCCGCCTGTTCTTTCTATTTGTGTCTGCTGGGAAAAGGGGTTATTAATGTTGTAGACATTGGTATTAGATTTTTTTCCATCTTTTATTTTCAGGGATTGTTGAAAGCCCGAGCTGTCTGTGAGATTGGCTGAGTGCAATGCAACTGTGATCTGTCAGATGAGATGTGAGGTGTGAAGGTCAGTGCGAGCTGATAAAGGCCATTTCTAACTTTTGGGTAATTTGGACACAGAACCAGAGTTTATTGCTCTGCTGGCTGACAATGGTCTCCTGCTGCCCCCTGTCCCGCTCTGGTACCTGACGTCAAATCAAGGTGCAATCACAGGTACAGAAAGAGCAACAGTCGCTGCTTTCATCTCCAAGGGGAGTCTGATGAAAGTGTCTTTGACCAGTTTGCAGTGAAAGGGCCTTGGCTTGGGATCAGAAGGTTGCCAGTCTGTATATCATGAAACCATCATGGAGTTGTAAGTGACCAAATGACTCTATACCAAAAAACCAGAACCCTAGAGCAAAGCACTTAACTCCATTTGTTCTTTCTCACTGTACAAGAGAAATAAGTAGTTGCTCATGGAGGGATTTGCCTCTATAAGGATAGGTAAAGATTAAAACGGTACTCCCCTAATTCTACATGTCAAAGTCAATTTACTAGTCATGAGGAGAGCTCTGTCAAATCTCAGGAAATAACCCCTGTTGATGTCATTAATGGCAGAATAACCAAGGATCAAACTAAAAGACCTTATCAAGTCTAGCAAGGGAGGCGTAGAGGGGGATATCTCAACTACTGCTGCTTCAGATTTTGGTTATTCTTTTTAAAAAATCTGTCTTTTGTAAGTCCCCCAACGGAAGTGCAACACTAAATTTCACGAGTACTCTTTAAAGGGTCACTGCACTGAGTCCACAAGATGTTTACTAGTCATGAGGAGTATCATTGTGAAGCCTGTGAAATCAGTTGCAAAATGTCTTCCATGTCTCTGGAGGAGCTTTGTCAAAACAATCGTGATCACTAATTAGGAAGGGTCTAACTAAAACATGTCGTCGAGTTGCATTATGGGACGTGTTGAGCTAAAAGTTAGTCTCATCCTCTGCTGCTTCTTTTTCAAATCTGTCTCTTGTAAGTTGTCAAGCATCGTGCACCCCATTAAAAAAGCATTTTAAAAAATGGTCAAAATTGAACCAGCAGAGAGGAAGTTTCAAAAACACTGGATCCTACATTTCCCATAATGCAAATCAATATTATATTTTGTTAGACTTCCCCTGCATTTTAAATGCCCAATGCCTCTGTTTTTTTGTTTAAATCTGTAGCCTTACCCAATCAGAGATAACCCTGATGACATCACAATGACATCATGAAGGTCACTTTAAAAAGATCCCTCTGACGCGACACAAGACACTATACGACTGTCACTTTTCACAGGCTGAGTAAGCTGATATTTGTGTCTGAAAGCAGTGGAGAAATAAAGTCAAATGTTTTAGTCATTTCCTACAGTAATTACTTTATTCTGTATTAACAGAAATTAGCAAAACAAATTTTAATATGTGAACAGTTAGTTTCTAAAATTACGAGGAGGTTTTTCCCCTCTGTAATGTCGACAAACATCAATCAGCTGTCATATTAAGGTACGGACATGCAAATGCCAATGCACCTGAACAGGTAAAGACAGGGAGAGGTAGAAGATCACGACTTCATTCCAGTAAAGTATCTCACCTCCTCTTCCTGCCAGAGGCTGGCCCGCAGTCTACCTCTTCATCCAATTAGATAGCAGATGATAGCACCAGGATAACAAATGTCAAAGGAAAGGTCTTGCAGTTTTTCGCCACTGGAAAGGGTAAAAGAGAGACAGTAAATGCCGAGGATGAGGCGTGTGGCTTGGAGGTGGCTGATGGCCGCTTTTCAACCCATGCTGCAGCTTTGGAAACAGTTGCACGTAGAGCAGGGGATGTTACTACCGCTGCTACACTGTCACATTCACACTGGCCTCGTTCTCACTGGGGATTTCAAACTGATTTTAAAGCAGACTGAATTTTTTAACCTTATTCTTGTGATCCTTTGAAGTTCAATGCACAAAGTGAGGCACTGCCAGGCTGAGGGGCTCAGCTCCATTGGGGTGACCCGTGCTAATAATAGTACACTCACTTGTGGGACTGTCAGGCACTATCAGGGGTAAAAGCCTCCACCAAATGGTACACTGTATCTCCTCTTACATGACACTGCTGGATGCAACATCATGTTAATATTTTGCATGACAATTCTCATATAAATATGTATGAAAATATACCATACAGATCAAATCTGCACACGATATTGCAGTTTGACAGGGCTGTGAGAATGTGCTCAGAGTAACAGAGCACACAGTCAAACTTCTCCACTCTGACCTGTCAGTGTCATCGGTAGTTATAAACAAAGCCTGGCTCCAGAAGACAGCAACCATCTGTAGAAAACAGGGCAGCTCTGTTTGGAGTCAACCTGACTTAGTGAGAATAAAGGACTGCTCCACATCTCAGCTCACATAAAAAATACAGCAAACCCCCACCCCTCCCCTCTCCTCTCTCAAATGTGTTTACACACTGCAGCTTTTTTTAAATTTTATTTTATGCAAATCTCTTATGACTGAGTGGGACGTAAGCAGGCCAGTCGTTCACAGCAGCTTACCACAACATTTGATAAAGAAGCTTATTAAGACTCTTTATGTGAGACACAATAAAGCACAGGAACATGCAGGTAAGGGAGTGAGCAGGGCTTCTGGATCCCAGCCGAGCCAGACCACCTTAAGCGCCTTTACCACCACCCTCCTTAGTTCCACTCTCCCAGCATGCAATGCTACTACTGCACTATATTTCTTACCCTTAATCATT